TAAAACAATTAGAACTACAGGTACATTCCTCGAAGCAAAACGCGACGAAGTCGATGAAATCATTACGGATTACCATGTCCACGTTCAACTACTTGCACGATCTTCGTTCCTTGTAACCCAGGTTATAAAATGTTCATTTGCACGCAGTAGTTGAAAGCTTAATTGTATTTTATCTTCAAACAAGACGGGCCCCTTAACGAGGACGTTTCTTCCCGATTGTCTTATCGTACGTCCCGCGAGTTCGTTCATTAATCCGTTCATTCACGTAGGAGCCATGTGGTTAGATGGTAATCCATCCTGTGGTACTTCCTGTCCCTTCCTATGACACAAAATGACACGTTATAAGGGACCTATGTTTCAAAACATTTTGACAAAGTACAATCCTGTACGTCGACCATGGTTTTAAACGATTTAACGAACAGTGAGCAGAGATGTTTAAGAAATGGATAAATACTGCTCTCAATAACGGGAAATAATTTATCCGTCATTTGCAGCCGGTCGGCGATTAAACTATTTACGTCGAAGTTTTATGCGCGTTAACTGTTTCTCAAGGGTGACACGTTTATCACCGATACCGGCCGTACGAATGATTGGTAGGCCGGCTGGCCCAGCTGTGACATTTCGCGCACGATCGACTCGTGCCGGTCAGACGGTGATTATCGTTGTTTCCTCTTTTCCTTTTTCACCCTCTCTGAAAGTAGCCGTGCGTGTGCCCCGTGACGTGGCCATGTAAGGGCTAAGCGGGGGTGCACGCCGCTAATTTTAGTCCGTCTCCAGGGTTCCTGGAGTCGTCGGCGAATCGGCAGCTGGTGATTCAAGACGTAAGCCTTGCACGTGGGTACGTGTCTCACCGTTCACGCGCGACGGACATCCCCCTTTTCTTGTTTCTCCTCTCGAAGGAGGTCGACTTGTCCACTTGGTTCGCTCCAGATGTGCATTGCGTCCGATGTCATCCGATGGACCGTTGGATACTACGACCGGATGATACTTGAATCATCTCGCGACTCGACTTTGGTTCAAACTCGATCAAACTAGAATTGTATTATGTTTGTTCTCAAAGTTACCCTTCTGCTAGGTCGCCATTTTGTATATCTTTTATGTCACGTTTACTAAATTCTTTTCTCTTACCGATCACCGGAAGTCCTGAAAGTTAAAGGGCACCGATCAAACTAGAACTGTATTATGTTTGTTTTCAAAGTTACCCTTCTGCTAGGTCGCCATTTTGTATATCTTTTGTGTCACGTGTAAAAAATTCTTTTCTCTTACCGATCACCGGAAGTTCTGAAAGTTAAAGGGTACCGATCAAACTAGAACTGTATTATGTTTATTTTCAAAGTTACCCTTCTGCTAGGTCGCCATTTTGTATATCTTTTATGTTACGTTTGATAAATTCTTTTCTCTTACCGATCACCGGAAGTCCTGAAAGTTAAAGGGCACCGATCAAACTAGAACTGTATTATGTTTATTTTCAAAGTTACTCTCCTGCTAGGTCGCCATTTTGTATATCTTTTATGTCACGGTTAAGAAATTCTTTTCTCTTACCGATCGCCGGAAGTTCTGAAAGTTAAAGGGCACCGATCAAACTAGAACTGTATTATGTTTGTTTTCAAAGTTACCCTTCTGCTAGGTCGCCATTTTGTATATCTTTTATGTCACGTTTGATAAATTCTTTTCTCTTACCGATCACCGGAAATTCAGAAAGTTAAAGGGTACGCATGGTAGCCGGGAATTCTTTATGGTTCGATTACCATTTGGAATTGTGCTATTCGGTGTCTTTGGCCCTGGAAAATGAAAGAAAGTAAGAGGAAGGAACAACGTGTGTCTCTTCGAGATGGAGCTAAAGGGGAAACGAACGGGGAGGTAAACGAGATCTGGCGGCGGCTGGTGCAGCGGATGTTTGAAGCTGCTGAAATTGAAGCGGTGGTTCCTTTCGCGTTCTTTCTCCGTCTTTCCTGTTGCGTTCCCTTCGTCAGTTAGCCGCGATCGCGGTAAAACGCGGTCCACGAAGGAAGCACCTCGACGGATGTGATGTTTAGGACATGGCCCGGACAAAAAATCTTCATCGTATAAATAGGCGACGGTGGTTGGTACTGCTAATGCCGACTAACTTTTGACCCACATATTTCCATCGATTGTTTGTGAAGGCGGGTACCGCCTCTTTTTCTCTTCTTCACATGCCGTGGATGCAAGGGATGCACGACATGCCGGTGGTGCACAGTGGCTAATTAGGCAAGAATAAGAGAAATTATGTCTTTCCAAAATAGCTAGAGTATAAAGTCCGTATCTCGTGTATTATTTTTGTTCGTCTAAATCTAAAAATTCAGCCACCATGCGGCAGTCTTCGGAAGCTTGGTACAAACAGAATGCATTTAAAATAAAAATGAAAAATATTATTTGTACTTCAAATTAGGTCTAAATGCTTTGGTAACACGATAGTTATAAAGATCCGCACTTGTTGACCTGTTTCCATTCGGGTTTCGGAAGTCAAATCTTTTCTAACCTGCAACCTGCTGGGCCAAAGAAACCTATACGCAGTTCTCTTCAAAAGGATATTTGCTCTTTTCACTAATGAATGATTTATAAGTAATGTTCTATAACCAGCTTTTGATTCCCTCCGAACCAAATGATCTAAGGAAAGAATTTAAGACAATTTGCAACGGTTTGATAACATAGGAAATAATCGATGATCAATTTATATGGTTCATTTTGTATACTAATGTGTTAATGGTGCCACTCGAATAAATATTAAATGATAAAATTTATTGTCCAATTTAGTGAATCCAAAAGGGTATACGACGCGTGGATCCAGTTGGATATGCTCGACACGTGGTTGTCGATATTCCAGGCTCCTGCCGAGAAACACAGACCTCCCAGTGTCATCCGACCACCATGTGCACGAAACCACGGTAAAGTCCCTCTCAGGTTTTCAAATCGTCTTCTATTTGTCGTCGGTATCACCGAAACCGAATAGCGCGTAAAAACACACAAAGAAACCGTACTAAAGACCAACGCACGGTTTACACCTCCTCGGTGTACCCAGTAGAAATTTAAATAGATTCTTTCGAAACGACAAGTGCGCGGCAAACACCACGCGGGAGAGATCGGTTGGCATTACAGTATTTTTTAACATGATAGAACATATAAAAACGAAAAAAAAAAAGTTTCAAGTCTTGGAAACATTATGCTTCAAAGAGTACGATCAAATTCAGAAAATTGGCAATATTACAGGACTTTGACCGGAACTCCGTACACATATATATGTAACTCGCGTTGTGCGCCAAACTTTAAATTACTCTTTCTTAGAAAGACATTTTTCAAACTGGTTGGCATGATATTTCGGGAATTAATAAACTAATTGGTTTGAAATTTGACGCACACAAGTATAAAGTAAATATCCCACTATCGTTTGAATTAAAATAAACAGGATATCTGTAAAAGTTTCTATTTTGCCATATAAAGAAACAACAGAGTCTGGCGACGCAAAATCAATTATCGATGCTTGACAAAATTCCTACTGCTTATTAAAACATAAATAAGTACATGCACAAAGTTTGAAATTGATATGTTGAATAGTTTTTGAAAAAAAGAAATTCAAAATAACGCCTAATTTCTAAGCTTTAATAGACTCTTTAAACACGTTGGTTTCTGCCAGCTACACTATCAGTAACTTATTCTTGGAAAACGCATTCGGATTTAGTCTGGATTTACGAATATAAATATAAACTAAATATTTGTTTGGGAAATAGTGGTAAATGGATTTGCAAATTGGAAACGTTTCAATGAGGTTGACGTTGACGAGTTATTGCGAGGCGTGCAAATGTTAGTGAAAACAGCACCCGCGGTAGGTATGTTTTCCATTGCGGCTGTCACCTGCTCTTATTGCTTGACCAATTGATGTAAACCCACGTCCGGTACTCGACCAAAGTGCACCGGGCGCACGTCTGATTCGTAGGAACATGACACCTTTACTTTTACGACACTTTGCGTACCGCATATGCTTCTCAGAAGTCTCGTTGCTATTAGCTCTTGTTCGAGGGTTTTAGTATCGGAATGTTTGTTAAGGTTGTGCACGTATTGATCGAAATTTACAAACAAATAATGTCGATTTATATACAAAGTAAAATTATGATGTGTTAAAAGTGAAGAGATTTAAACGTCATCGTTTTCATATCCAAGATATCGTACAACCATTTCGGTCTGAAGATCATGTTTAAGTCATGTAAAAATTGGAATCCTTCGTAACCGTACGAGACCTGGTAACAAATGAACTCGTGGCATTAAAATGATTTTCATATCGTTAAAATATAAACAACTCACATCGATGGGGAAATGATGGGGATAAACGGGACTTGCTGCGATGTAGAAATACACGCTGACCGTTACTTGGGGTTCAGGATACGCTGGAGTTGGAACACTCCAAAGAACTTGATACGAGTAAAATTCCGTACCACTTTTACATTCAAGACCAATGAAGGTCGCATGAAACATCCAGTCCTTCAAAGCCTACAAAAGTTTTGTACAAGAATATTCATGTACACTTCTTGTAAAAAAGAAATATTTTCATAAAAGTTGTACTGCTGATGCATTCCACGACTCCATTTCTGCGATCACGCTTTCTAGTCCGGTTCGAATGGTAAAACTGCCGCACGTAGGCCACATGTTCCCATGATAGCCCATTTTTCGCATAGTTCTGCCAGAATAACGGTTACTGGATAGGATGCCCTGGTAAATTTCATATTTATATCAGAAAGTGTAACTTTTATCGTAGAAATGAAAATTCCAGTTCTTTTCTACAAACCATATTCGATATAATCTTCAGTGCGTTTCCAACTGCATGATTTACGAGTCTTTCGATAAAATCGGTTGTCGTACGATAATATTGGTAAGGATATCGATTATCGGTTTCGGGGAGAACATTGAATACAGAACGTTGTTTACCCAAAAGCATCTTTTTAAGATGCAGAGATTGTGAAAAAGATATTCCGTTTCGTTAAGTTTTCGAGAATTTATTTAGTCGAATAGTTACATACATTCATCATTGCATTCGTGTTAAAAAAAGAAACGACAAAATCGACGACTTCGTGCTTTCGCTCGTGCGTGTTTCTCTAATTACTATGACAATTATTCGCGATATGCATACATACACACATACACACATACATACATACATACACACACGCATACATACGTCTATAATCGTATATAAGATATCTAAATACACAGGTAAAACGCACGCACAATTAAATTATACGAAGACTTGAATTTAGAGAAATAGTTTGCTATAATATGATATTAATACTTATCAAGTTAACAGTCACTTTTTGAATTATTAGGATGATCTTGCTGAGACCGAGCAGCCTTTGTAGATGCTTCCAAACCTGTAACAGCCGCTAAAATTTGGAACAAACTTTCCATTAATCTACTGAATATCTCTGACATCTCGTCGTCCTTTCGTGTAACCACAAAAATATCTGTAAAAAAAGACATGGCGATCAATCGCGATACTTGCGTAGCTTTAGGTAATTCAGTTGTTAGTGTATGTACCAGATCTATCTTGCCCTAAGTATTTGCAATACATATTAACAGCAGTCGTCACATCATCGTCATCGTGAAAGGGATCTCCAGGCCACTGAGCTCTGTGCAGTCTTACAGCTTCAAGGGCAGGGCACCATCGTGCATTCCTCAATAGCTCCGCGACTCGAGCAACTTCTTCGACAGCGCCAGTGCCAGGCAGAGGACTAGGACTAGGCGTTGGAGTTGGTGTACCTCTTTCGCTCTCTGTGCTCTCCTCAAGTGCTCTACTCAGAGCAATTTTCATATTCGCAATTTCTGTAGATATATCTTGGAGTGGAATTTGTACGTTCTTCGCGGCGTTCATAAGAGTGCATAACATTTTATTCGAAGCTTCGATCAAAAGTAATAGTTGGAGATGAAGCTTGTAAAGAGCTCTGCCTAAATCTAAGAGCATCTCCTCGAGTCCTGCCTCTGTAGTATGTCCACCGCCTAATGCTTGGAGTTTAGCTGCTGCTTTGGCAGCTTCCAAACACTGTAAACAATTTCGTATTAATAACGGGATGTATACGTAACACATTTAATTAGCGGCTATTTACTTCGGTAGCGTGATCTTTCTTGTCGAGGAACGTTTCAAGATGCTCTTGGATTTCTAACATCCCGAAGCGTAAAGATTCGTTCAGTCGTTGATTCGCAAAAATCGCAATCGAAAACCAGATCAAAGGTGGATCAGCCTTTGAGCTAAGCAGATCAGCGTGACTAGATAAATGATGACCTAATTGGGTGGCGGCTGGGCTGCCGTTACACAATAAGGCACTGGCTTCTCGCGTGAGAGTAACAGATTTACTGCTTACATCCTGGCGGTGATAAAAAATGTATTAATTATTATTAATGTGCTGAAATGGAGAACATATTTACCCTCAGAATCCTGCTTAACAGCTGGAAAAAGTCTAGTGTATTGTATAGGGATTGCGTAATGAGATTTTGAATTTGTTGCCGCCAAAGTTCCTCGGCATCGTCTCGCACCACTTGTCTAAAAGGCATTAACGCCGAAAGATTTGGCGATGCGTTGCAAGGCGTTACGTCCCCTAAATCTCCAGCGCTAGAACCACTGTATACACACGATAAAAATAAATCAATTAAATGCACCTATTTAATGTTCAAACGAGAAACTTACGATGTGTCAGACCTTGTCGAAGAATCGTGACGTGTGCGACTAGGAATCAATGAAAGAGAGGACGGAGGGAACATTCCAGGAATATTATTCGCTTCTTGCCCCGTTCCAGATCCACCGGGTACTTCGTCTAAAGGTGATTCTGAACCAGCCTCGTCATCCGATGATTCTTCCGCGACTCCGCGCTACCATTTCAATATTATCACTTTATAGTAACTACCGTTACGATTTTATACTTATATTTAAAAATTGATTATTATTTATTTACCCGGCTGGTATGTTTACTGGATGATTGAGTTTTTTCACTTAAACTTTCTTCAAATTGTCTCAAACTTGGCTCTCTTTCTTCTCCTTCGCTAAGAGGTCGTCGCCTCACTCCCCAATTGAAATTATCAGTACTTTCACCCTGCAATATATTAATAAATTTAAAGATATTAGCATGCTATTAAATTATATAAATAATAACGAAAATTGACTTATGCAATTGAAATTCTTACCTCAACGCTTTCGCTTTCATATTCAAGGAAGTCGAAATCTTTAAACACGCCAAATTGTTCATCGTCTCTTCTAGATCCTCCGCTTAAATCGTTATTCGCTCCAGAAACTTCTTCCGTCGAAGAAGCCATGGATGATTGTCTTTCCATTAAATCTGAACTTTGACTGAATATCACCTGCATTACAAATTTGTTGTTTTTAATTAATGAACAGGAATATGAGAAAATAACAACAGGATCCTTATTCAACATGACATTTTAACATTTCTTTCCACTATGTGACGATGCTGTGAAGTTTAGCGATTATTGTGCATGTACGTGTTTACTGAAATTCTTTTATACAGACTTTGTTTGCATAATCTCTGATATAGCAATAATTTAATAATTACAACAATGCACGTATACATTGTGTTCCGACATACTCTTTTTCATACAAATAACATGCTACACAAAAATCTACTGCGCATCAATAAGAATTCTACAGAAATTAGAAGAAATCTTTTTCTGTCTCGAAATATTTTGTGCAGGTCAAAACATTTGTACAAAGCATATTGAAGCGTGGTTAAATTTGTATTGATAAGACATCACATATGAGTAGAAACAGATATTTTTGTACTCTCGTGACAATGAGTGCGGGCTGCATTTAAAGAAACCTGTTACCTTGCTATATAATGTCATTGAACTAATGTGTTCATCCTAAAAAGGGGTACATAACCAGAGTCAGTTTTAATAAAAGATATCATTTCTCGAAGGAAAACTACTGGATAGGAATGTGGATGGGAATGTATAAATCACACAAATTTTTGACAAAGATTTTAAGCTGATAAAAACTTACAGAGGGGCTCTTTGGTAGTCCAACGCGTTGCCCACATGTGGTTAAAAGATTCACCAGACATTCTCTAACTCGACCCTGAAGAATAAATTTTTTTCGATATAAATAATGTTAACATTTTATATTTATTTTTGTCTAACCTGTGACATCCATGGTCGTTTCCAACCGGAAACTGCATTGCTATCGGCTGGTGATAGAGACAATGAACATCGAGGAGAACCAAGTGACTTTTCTTCCACACCTTGACGTATTAACCACCGTCTACCAATTACAGGCGTTTGAGACAAGTCAAATGTGAAATCCATAGTCCTTCCTATTTACAAATACAACGTAACAATTCAATTTATCGTCAAACATTCTTAAACGTTTACATATAGCCAATAATTTAATAATTTATGTATTTGAACAAATACCTTTTTACCTTTTCTATGAAAATATAAATGTAAGTATGAGAACGGTAAAGCGTTTGAAATGTATAATAATGAAGATTTCGAGAGAAAAAGTCTGAAAGTCTAAGTCGATCGAAATAAACTATAAATACGTAACGGAGTTTGATTAAAAAAAATAATAACTGTATTTCGTGGATAGTTTACAACTTATTGTTATTATTATTATTCTTATCGCAACCTGTGCATCGTCAGATAAGCGATCCATGCAGTGAGCGTGTTCCGCATTGTAATAGGAAAAACAGAATATAATGATTTTAAACGTTCACATTCATGCAAAATATATTTTAAGGTGTATCAATTTACCGGGTAGCTCTTTTTTGGTAAATATTTCGGTATCGGTGAAGCTCGGATGCGGAGATGCTAAAGAAGATTCCCAAGATGAACCGTGCACTGAAGTAGGTGGTGCTACTAAAGTTGACGATCTTGTGACTACGAGTTTCAATATTTTAAGGGCTTCTTTCCAATGGGGACCCTAGTATTACATCATGACATATCAACTACATGCAAAAAACGTTTGCAAATATTGTGGCTTCTTAGACTTCGCTAGCATTTAGAAAAAATTCCCATACCTCGACATATTTTGAAATCACTCTGAGAAGTTCTGTGTTAATCGGTTGAGCAGCCTGAGAAGCTAAATCAACGTAATGTAACATACAATGTATGATACTGAGCACTGGTAACGCAACACTTCCCGGGCCCTTCTCAAGTACTTCCACCAGAAAAGCAAGCATATTGAAACTGAGATGGGCGTATGTATCATAAAGATACTTGACAACGCATTTTGTCCATTGGAAACTTTCTTTGCTAAAAGTACGTCGACTATATAACGTCATAACAGTGCCTAAGTTCTCTAATTTCTTTCCCTTCTCAGCACTCACCTACAAAACAAAATACATGTCGAACTTGGTAACGTTTAAACTGAAACAGAGTATAATATTACAACTGTTATTGATGTATAATAGTTACTTGTGCAATATTTTCGGCACTCCTGATGCACAACTCATTAGCATCTTCGTAATTTAGAAGCATATAGGGAAGCAACGACACAACATTCATTGGAAATGCGAGGCTCTGAGTGGGATCAACAACGGGCAGATCCAATAACGGGGTAAACTGCGACAATAATGTTACCACTGGTTCATACGTGTTTGGACTAGTGCATCCCTTTAACAATAATGCGTGTACACCCGGGAACGAATTCCATCTTAATTGCTGTTGCAATTTCTCGACCTTGTCTCGAGCATCTGGTCGATCCAGTGGTAATCTATGCAGTACACGGCTCAACAATCTCAATGCCAAGAGGAATTCGTGTTCGTAGTCCGATTCGAGCAGGGATACAGATAGCCAAAATAGTTGTGCCAAAATAGTCATTTTATCATCTTGAGTTGCCGAGTCGCCCAATAACTTCAAAGACTGAGCCGATCTCGAACGCGAAAGATTCGAATTTGGATATTTGTTGCATCTGTTATCTAATTCTGTAAATATTAATAAGATTACTATGGTCACTTGTGAAGGTATTAGCGGATATAGGTGTCACAAACCTTTCATTTCGCTCGTTGCCAAATTACCGCCGCTTGACTTTTTCATACAGTAGCTGACCGAGTAACTGGTACTCCTTGTGTGACCACCTTGATTCAGATGAGAAAACATACACGGACCGGCTGGATACCCATTTCCTCCTCCTGGACTGCGTTTTCCGCCAATCAAACCGCCCGATGCTGGGTCCTTATTGTTCAGATTCGGAGTAGATTTAAATATTTCTTTCATAAAATCGAGAGGCCGGAAATCAGATTCTAGCGAGTCGACGGCTGCTTCGAGTGTCAATAACAATTCTGTCACATAGCCCTGTTGATAAAATTATGGACGAATTACGCCATTTCAACAGCGACAAAACAGAGTTATTTTTACCAATTTTTTATACCTGCATGTCTTCCCCTTGTTCAGCGACCGTTTCCACCAATCTGGATAAGATATCAGATAACATTCGAGATGTAATAGGAACTCGCAATGCTCTGAATACTTGAAGCGATCTTCCAGCATAATGCCTGGATGAGCAGGACAAGCCTAATTGCAACGCGGTTTGCGCCCAACGTTGACTAACCAGAGCATGAGGCAAGGAATCTCTAAATACTCGTAGTACGTGTCGCAACAATACTGTTAGTTGTTCAGCACTGCGAACCCACCACACTTTAGCAGTCATATCTTCGTAATTCCACAGTGGTTGGTTGATCCTATCGAAAAAGATACTTCATATTCTGAAAACGTATTCTCCTAATCACCGATAATTTGATCAAGCATACCTAGAAGCGAGGAAGTTTATCAAAGATTTGATTACATCTTGGATTGGCATATTCGGTCCAGGTTGCGGACCGACCCAATTATTTGCATCTTCCGGTGTAACAATAACAGGAGGTACCACGTTTGTTGATCCTGTTGTCGGTGTCCAATTGTTACATACCGATGACTCTGTAGCATTGATAATATTAGTCCCGTGTCTAGATATTATATAAAATCGCAGACATTTCATCTCCTCACCGTATGCGTGAGCGTTCGAGTAATCTTTGCAGTTGTCCGTGACCGAGTGATTCACGTGATTCATTGATGTCGGAGGGGTGGACGTTGAGTTCGGAATTGGTGAATGCGTAGGCGTTCCGTTATTAGAAGGTGGAAACGGTGGCGGCGGAGGAGGCGGAGGGGGCGGAGGCGTCGAATTAAATATGGAGGATTCCGGCAGCGGTGGCGGAAGTGGTGGCGGCGGCGGTGGTGGGGGAGGCGGAGGAGGAGATGAAGAAGGCGGCGGTGGCGAAGATGACGGAGGAGGCGTTGTAGGAGGTGGTGCGGGCGGAGGACCGTACAAATAACTATCAAACTCTGGATCAACCTCGGTGAAGTTGTGCTCGAGTACTGGCAAAGCTGGAGTAGAAAGACCTAAACCCAATTGTTCGGTCTTTGACGCCAACAATACTCGCGCGACGCCTAGATGATCCCGATGGTCTCCGAGGACCACTAATAAATTTAACAAAAGACAACGACAATGATCCCTTACGAGAGGCCTCGAATGGTCCAAGCCGAGAAAAACTATGTGTAACATTAAGGGGACATGGATAGCCCAGTCGAGTTGTATGCCGTCGACGACGACGTCGGTGAGCAGCATCACAGCAATGTTGCATCTGAAATTCACAAATGCGTCGAGCAAACGAATCTTCCGGGGACCTGTTGTATAAACGACAACGTTCTACCTGTGAAATCCGCTTATTGGTTGCGAACTATCCGGCAAATACTCTGTAAGCGGAGCAAAATATCCACCGTACTCGGGCATCGGTAGCGGATGCGGTTGAGGAATATCAAACTTTTCGCCGCCGGCCGAAATTTTTCCGTTTACTCCAGCAGGTCCGTTACGTGCTCCGTAACAGGATTCGTCGGTGGTCAACTGAAATCAATCATACAAACGCTATGAACATAAAGCTAGGATGTAAAATCAATTATAATTTCCTGTTCAAGTTATATCTCGAGTTCCCTGGTGTTCCCACCTTGATACCTTGACTGAACATTATGAACAAATTAAAATTAAATAGTCTGCGTACCTCGGCTTCCGTTGTAGGAGTGGACAAATCGTCTGGAAGAACTGGCGGACCGCTCGCAGTCCTCGTCTTTTCTGCCCTTGGGGTTTGAAATCCAGCGAGTGCCCGTAACGCGGTATCGGATTTCGAGCTGTACACGTACAATTCATTATTAATATAATCAATCGATAAACAAATGCAACGAGCGAGCATTCGTACAGCAATTTAAGCAAAAATTACCCTGTTTTGACGGGGTCTTCGCCCGAGTGCCTTTTCGTATGAATGGTACCCTTCTCGACGCCCAGATCGCGAGGAGGATTTCCAGGATCAGCAGCGGGTGCGTCGCTGTGAGAAGAAGCTTTTCTCATACTGGTTAATCTATAAAACGGCGGAGTTTCCGTTCGTTCGATTAAGCAATTTAATGTTTCGACTGTCTGCAGTTCCGTCATCATTTCGTCCACTAAACGATCTGGACGTGCTCTTGCCAAATACAACACCACCCGTTTCGCCTGAAATGTATGTTAATATTTGTTAAATCTTAGTTAAATACCATAAAATTTCCAGTGGAAGATAGGCTTACATATGGAAGTAATTCTTGCGGTGCCATTCCAGAGACGATTATTAAATATCGAATTATCACTTTCAAATTGTTAGGCCAGCAGCCGCATAAAGTTGACCAAAGTTCCTCCGTCTCTTTGGGATGCTCGTCGGAAAACTGTATAATTTTTAATTTGATTAAAAATCGCTGCAAATATTTTTGATGACCTAATATTTTATACCATTTACTATACCTTAGCAGTTATGTAAAATAAGTTATTTAGCACCATTTCCGTTGCCTCGGCGCTACCCCAACCCTCTCTTCGTGCTCCACCACGCGACATGTCACTCGCATAATACTGTATAAACAAATTTAACATTTAATTTAACAAATGCTCAAATCATTACGTTCTAGTTAATGATCTCGTAATTACATTAAAAGATCTTAATTTAAACAAGGTGGAGAGTTAAACGTTCTAAAATAATTGATGAGTTTTTAATCTAAGAACACTCGACCATATACTCGAGATAATTGCTTCTGGGGTTGAATTCGAAGGTAATTGACCCTTTCGAGACGTCTGCAGGACGGTTGCCAAATACCCCCATACTCGCACGACACAGTATTGACTTTAGCGATGACCGAATTCACGCTTGAATTCGAAAAATGTATGTACAATTTCTATCTAATGTATATTATTTTGTTCGAGTTATTACAATTTATATGCTCATCATCATTATAAATCTGATGCATCCTTATCTGTGATACCCACTTCAGTAGGCGATTAAAGATATAATCGCTTACAAAAGTAATCACAAAAAAAGCAAATACAACAATTCTGTCGCAGAGTAATATTTTATAGCTGATGGTTTAATAGTAAAAATCGAAATAAAAAGATGAACCAAATACTGTGATTTGTAAAAGGGAGAAAATCGAAGGGGGCGTAGCTCAGATGGTAGAGCGTTCGCTTAGCATACGAGAGGTCCCAGGATCGATACCTGGCGCCTCCAGAATCCTTTTTTGATACTTTTGCCAAATGTAAACCGCAATGTAAATACAAAACGGCATTCGAGATAAATCAGATCAATGGGGGCGTAGCTCAGATGGTAGAGCGCTCGCTTAGCATGCGAGAGGTACCGGGATCGATGCCCGGCGCCTCCAAAATACTTTTTTTCCCAAATTTTCATCTGAAAACATCGTTTATACATACACAAAACATTCTAGAACACGATAATGCGATAAATAAATGTTATATGCCGATAAAAAAAAACAACTCTAACCGAAACATTTTATTACACATTGACTGCCATGTTACTAGCATACAAGTGATACTGACATTTCTATTTCTAATGATTAAACACTTGCGAGAATAAAAACGTTGATAAAAAAATACTGTGCCATGGTGAGCGTACAGTAAATTATAAAAAAAAAAAAAATCGTGAGGTATATTCCAGAGAAATATTTATAAAAATCCTCTAGGCAATCAATGTGATAATAATCGTCTAGACTTTTTAAGGAATGAGTTACATACACAGATGATCCCTTAGAAGTAATAAAACAATGTTTTGTTAAGAGATGAGAAATGAAATTTAATCGGAGTGAATAGCATAGAGTAGCATACAATTGATGTACAATAATAGACAAGCAGCGTATAGTGGTTTAGAAAATGAGCGTACAGTGCTTCCAAGAATATAAGTATGATCCTTTACTAAGGAAAATCCTTTCCCAACTCGACAAATGATCCTTCAAAGTTAACAGATCAACGGGGGCGTAGCTCAGATGGTAGAGCGCTCGCTTAGCATGCGAGAGGTACCGGGATCGATACCCGGCGCCTCCAGAATCCTTTTTTGATCCTTTCGCCAAAAGTGGATCGCAGTGCACATACAAAATGACATTCTGAGGCAAATCAGATCAACGGGGGCGTAGCTCAGATGGTAGAGCGCTCGCTTAGCATGCGAGAGGTACCGGGATCGATGCCCGGCGCCTCCAAAATCCTTTTATAATCCTTTCACCAAAAAGTAGATCACGCTGTACCTTGAAAACGACACGTGAATTAAATCAGATCGAAGGGGGCGTAGCTCACATGGTAGAGCGCTCGCTTAGCATGCGAGAGGTACCGGGATCGATACCCGGCGCCTCCAAATCCTTTTTTTTTTTTTAATAATTATACAGAGGCAGTGTTGTTTTTTTTTGTCCATTTCGTATCGAACAATACAAACCGATAAATTTTATCGTGATATCGTTGGAGTTTTACCTTGAACCATTGATTAATTTATTCCGAGATTGATTTTCAGTCAATTTCAAATGGAAATAGGATCATTTTTCAAATTTATTGTATACTCTGGTAACATTACCTGGTAATAACTCAATGGATTGGAAGGAGGCGGTACATTAGGGTCAACCAGTTCCATATTGTGCAGCCAAGGTAACAAATATTGGAGTAACAGCTGTCGTACTTCTCTTCTGGCTGTTTGAAATCTGTGTGTAATTTCTGAAAGTGATACAGAACTAATGTACATATTATACATCGCATAGCTTTACTTATGTATGCTGGTAATTTTCTTAGTGAAATATTAGTTGCATCTGCGTGTGCTCGCATTATGGTATTTGGGTCAGTTTCGGTGGGATCTTCCACAAAATTTTCTAGTATAATGCCTTTATGTTAAAAAATATATTGATATTGACTTATAACTTGATTCTTTTTAACCACTCAACGTTCACTCTTTTTTTAATAATTTTACAGCTTGCCGTTTTTTTTATCAAATTAAACGATGACTCGTTTAAATAATCAAACAAAGGAACTTGCTTTTATAGGTGTAAAATGTCATCTGAATTCGGTGGAGTAATATAATTTATCATTGCTCGTCGGAAACGGTGCTCAAAGCTGGCACGAACAAAACATATTTTCTGTGCAAACATACAATCTGGAGAAAGAGGTATTAGGCGGAGTTATAAATGGATGAATTATTTCTAGCTGACTGCTAGCAAAAGGTTTGAGTTGTCCAATGTAATATCGACTGCGAATCTCAAATTATCTTTACTCGAGTTAATCAGATCACATTTTGCCCAACGCTGCTCGAACGATCATGTATACTCGGCCCACTTGGACGCACCGAATTTTTCTTGGCTCGAATTCGAATCATCCGAATATTTCGAGCACTCGAACATCTTTGTCTGGTTGTTTGATCTCGGGTGTTCCACGAAAATTTTTTTTTTACGGAGAACGAGGAACTCACCGCTGAACATAGGCATCGTCAGTTCCGGGTGAAGTTGAGCGAGTTGACGAGAAAGATACATCTGATTACGACAATATGTGGTCGACAGAAGTACGTCGAGCGTGCCACCCTTAATTGTTCCATTCGAGGACAACCCGCCGATAGGATTGCTTTGTTGTCCTGGTGCAGAAGTGGCCGTAGTCGATGAACCACCAACGATATCATCCTGACCTGAAACAAGAAACGATAAAATTAAAGAACGTACTTTGCCTTAACAGTACTCGGAGAATACATTAAATTTTAACTATACACTGCATGCGTACAATTTTCATAATAGCGCGCGCTGAAGTATACAATTGGTAATCTAATTAGCAGTTTCGTTACCACGGCGTTTAATGAAACGCACTACTGTAATGGAAATAATTGCCCTATAGGTCTGTTACTATACTGGTGATGAATTATGATCAGAGATAAAAATTCGCTTTCATCTTTTTTTAGGATTTCACGCAACCGGCAAGAATTCGCACAACGCCTCGGTGCGCAGAAGCTAGATGCATTGGACTTTATCAGGAACGGTTGCCGATGCACCATGCAGAAATAGTCGAGACGGCATCCCACAGTATACACACTAGTTAAGTTGCTCATCCATTACCCAGGACCACTTTACCGGAAAACATTTCTAAGTGAAAATACACGTGTAAACAATTTAAACATTTGTTGTGAAATTATAAAAAAAAAACTGGATGACTATTATCATCGAGCGTTCAAACAAAATACATTAATAAGTTTGAAAATAAAAATTGAGTGAATGCATTTACACAAGCAACCGTTAAAGTGTATTTCCATACTGTGCGCGGTAAGTCGTCTAAAAAATTTGTACAATTGCTATATCGAATATTCATTGACGCACGACGATTCTTTAAAGTTCTACAGAATTTTCTTTGCGTTCGTTTCAAGGATCCTAATAAACTATGAACTTCTTCGTGAACGTTCGAAGACATCAAGAGAATTTGGCGGCTTTCCAGCAGAATTGTTTTCTTGTTAGATTGCTTTAAAGAGTCAGAAAATATGAAAAAGGTCAATCACTGAAAGCGAGTGATTAAGAAACTGGGTAAAGCTCGATGATTCTAACGCGTTACTGTAACAGAGAAGATAAATGAAATCCTGCACAATTGAAATCCTGCTTCGTGCTAAAATTATTTTAAAAGGATCAATGGTATCGAAGAATTCCTACTATCGCATTATCAATATACTAAAAACATTGTAAAACATTCTCTGCTCTCGTTCCCAAAGTTTGTTCTAAACAGAAGGTAGTCCGATATGCTGCACGTGAAAGATATAAATCCCCTTAAAATGTATTTTTATCTGCGGGATGTCAGTTGATAAACAAAAACAAAATATTTTTGAACGCCACGCGTCATCGTGAACACTCCGGGCTCGGAACGAGGTACCGACGGAACCTTCTTGCTCGAAATCACCGAACGAAGATGGTCGAGCTGATAGAAAACATATTCCGTGGCATCCAATTTTACTATACGCCGATCCTGGTGTACTTCGGTTCTTTGGGTAACTGCCTGTCCGTGATCGTATTCTTCGGAACGAAACTGTGCCAATACTCGTCGAGCATCTACCTGGGTGCATTGGCCATCAGCGATACCGGCTTTCTCGCATCGGTTTTCGTAGTTTGGTTGAACATGTTGGAAGTCGGTCTGTTCAATCGACCGGGCTTCTGCCAATTTTTCATCTATCTGACCACCCTTTGTAGTTTCACGAGCGTTTGGCTGGTCGTGGCGTTTACCATAGAACGATTCATAGCCGTGCAATACCCGTTCTATCGTCGGTCGATGTGCACCGTGGCTAGGGCAAAAGTTATGGTCGCCGCGCTAACAGGACTGGCAATGATCTTATGCAGTCCGGTCCTATGGTTTTCGGCGCCGCGTTTCGAGCACAATGAGAAGGGCAACGTGACCGAATGTGGCCACTTGGCCGAAGGGCTGGAATCCTGGGCGGCCGTTTACAATGTCATCGACACTGTATTGACGTTCGCGATACCGTTTGTCGTGATAGTCATCCTGAACGTGCTGATCGCGCGAGCTATCTATAGACATATTAAAATTAGAAAATCTCTGACCATCGAGCCGCGGATAGCGAAGGAAAGACAACCGTCCGCGCAGAACCCACGTAACAATCTAGCGCAAACAAAGATCACGAAAATGCTCCTCGTCGTTTCCAGCGTTTTTCTCTGCTTCAACTTGCCTGCGTACGTCTTGAGGATCCATGCGTTTCTGCACGTAAATATTCCCTTTGACTTTCTATCGGATCTATCGCTCTGCTCATACCTTGTATATACAACAAAAATATAGTTTCAGGAGAGCAATGCACCCCGTTACGTGGAACTGGCGCAACAAGTTTCCAATTTGTTGTTCAACACCAACTTCGGGATAAATTTCATCTTGTATTGTGCCACGGGGCAGAATTTCCGAAGAGCGATACGTTGCATATTCTTGAAGCGGTTTCATCGAAGGAACTTGACCATCACGCAGGTGTCTAGCAATGGAACGCAAAATGGTAGGTACCCGTTAATACTTGAGGTTTTGAGGCAAAATTAATTCTGTTATAAAATATCAAGCATTAAATGTTTACCATATTTGACCTGTGATCCTGACTTATAAGGCATTTAAATCGACAGTTGCTTCGTTTACAGGCTTTGTTAATTAGTATTGAATGTATTTACTTTTAGCATCGATCGCGCGGCAAAATAATGCAACACACGATCGTGATCAAGGAACCACGGGAAGAATTTCAAGAACCAATCACTATCTCACCGTGAAGGATGTTACAAATATTTAAAACATGATGCTGAAATCTTCTTTTCCTAGACACTATTGTAGGGGCATGTTGAATATAAAGGAAACGAGCGATTATGTTTTATAAACATACCGGTCTCCGGTTCCGTAGTTGGAAGAGGACCCACGTTTCCGAAAAATCTTTGATCGAGCAGCTGGAGAAGTTGAAGCGCCGCGTCATGAACAGGGGCACGAGGGCAACCCGTGCTCATCAAGGTAACGTTGATGATGCTCGTATAATGATCGCAAGGGTATTCTCTATAAAAAGAAATTGTTAACATACTTTTTATTATATTTCTGCGTGAGAGATACAACCGAGTTTTTTGTACACTTATAACGATGTCCAACAAATAAAAACATTTGTCCATTATTTACTTGTGGTGTCTGGTGAGAAATTATTAGAAAAGATGATTTATCACGTGAAAATAAATGAAACGTTAGACAGTTTAATTTAGTCTTAAAACGTTTGAGAAAGATTACACATCGGATGTTGCAAAATAAAATTCGTGCTAGACTAAAAATATTTAAATACTTGAAGAAGCGTATGTGGCATTAACCTTGCGCTAAATATGGTTGCCAAGGCGAGGAAACAACCATCAGCTACTTGAGGAGCTCCTGTATAGCATCGGTCGACTACCCAATCGAGAAGGGTTCCAATATCTGGGTTACATTCCAACAACAAAACCACTGTTTCACGGGCGAGGGCGTAAATCTGAGAAATATCGTCGAGCATGTAGCGTCGTGTCTTTCTAAAGAGATTAACATTAAACGTGAGTCGTATGTACGTTACGAATAATTTAACAATTACTTTCTCGTCCTTGCTGGCTAACAGTAAGTCTAACCACTGGTACAATATCGCCCCTTCTTCCGAAAGCGATTGCGGATTGAAACAAGGTCCGCAACACAACAGTCCGCTCATAGCTTGTAGCGACGAGAGCTGTAATTCCGTGCAAGATTTTTCTTCTTCGTGCAGGGAGGATGTGGTCGAAAGCGGTCGGCCATAGGGGCCAGCCCAACTAGCGAACAGCATAAACAAGTTCCGTCTTAAATCTCTCTTTAACAACGTATGACACGTCTCCACTGTAATACAAAGAATACCAGTCGTTTCAGAACATTATTGCGAATATTTCTCCAGGCATAAATTACTTACACGAAAAGCTCTTGATCATTTTTCTAATGAAGTTACAGAAGTGCAATTTTATGTCGCGCACGGCAGGTGCCTCCTTGTCGGTTTCGTTCTCCAAGTACAAACGCGCGCCATCAATGTATTCGACGAACGTTGGATGAAGCGATTGTGTCTCGCGATCCAATACTGCGGGGCTAAACAAATGTATACGAGAGGGATTGGTTCATTGTTCAAACTTGTCGAGATGAATGTATAGAAAAGCATGAAATCAGCGACTAACCAGATACCGAATGTTCCATATTCAGCAATTAATTCCAACACTCTCACCAGCTGTAATCTTAAAGCGTCTCTTCGTCTTCGTCGCCTCATGTTCTCTTGTTTACGGTCAACCGCTTCGCGAATATAAGGAACCAATTCCTCCATCAAATCTCTAAAATGTAATAACCGTTGTTTAAAATGTATCATCTCTATCTATCGTCAGTCTACTTACTTCAAAGCATCGGAGTTCACTTTGCCAATGGCCTGCACAGCGGCATCTCTAACATCCACCACCTCGCATCTCAACAGAGGTACGGTTAATTTGTACAAGGCCGCGGGACTTGCATTTGTACCGGGTGACTTGTTGTCGCCCCGTTCGGCGGAAAGGCTGTCCGGCGACGAGCTACGAGTAAGTTGAAATTTTGTCGTACATCGGTGTGATCTTTTTCTAGCCGTTTGTCACACGCTAACAGACACACAGATCGTGCGCGACTGATAAATATAATATTCGATTAAAGCGGTCGGGAACGGTCGTAACGCTATGCAAGGAAATTAAATAAAAAATACATGGTACAGATAGTAAATAGGCGGGTTAGGTTGGATTCGAGCTAAAAGACTTACAAATAAATAAAGGCTCGTACGAAAAAGTAGTGCAAATTACCAACGACCGTTTAAATCCCGGGTGACTTCGAAGCATGGTCGTTCGCAATGGTTAATTAGGCTCACCTGGTCCGCTTATGCCTGGTGTAGATGCCGGAAATGGACGGAACGGAGAACCGACCCGGCAGGGTCTGCGCCCCGCCGAGATTCTCCAGGCTCTGACTCAACTCCTTACTCATGCACAACACACCAAACTCCACCGTATGCTGACCACTAGAGTATGCAATACAGTGTACCACCAATGCTCCTTGTATCAGACATTATTTACTGCTCAGAAACTACTATTCTAAGATCCAGATGTACGTGTGCGAGACAGTGACCAGTGGCATGCGAAGTAGAAATGTTACAGAGAATGAAGCGAGATGTGCGTTTTAACAAAGTGTGCGAAATCGAGTCCCGCTCCCGAGTGCAAAGCGCGCCTTGGTACAAATTGGTGCTCCTCCTTTCTGTATGACGCCTTATATTACCACAGTGCGGGACGAAACGATGAAACACTTTATAGATTTGTATATTTTGTAAAATCAGAACAAGAAAATATACAATTTCTACATACTCTATACAGGGTGAACCGTCGTAAACAGTTACAAGTTGTTTTCTTAGAAAACCATTTATAGAAAAGATTTATAGCTTGTACTACTTTATAAAAATCACCCTGTACACTAACGGTCATCCATATAGAATATATTTCAACAAAGTTACAGAAGAAAATGTAAACTGTGACTCCGTTTGTTTGAGTACAATGATAAGACGCTTGAAATCATCAAAAGTCCTTGCAAAGTTTTGATCGAATTCTATTTTTACTAGTAAACAGAAGACGATCATTTTCCCAAAATAATATCTAGCAAAGAAACTTTGGGTAATTGTTATTGTTAAGGATTATTTAATATAAAAAGTATTTCAAGCGTTCTATCATTTTTTTTCTGGACTGTAGTACAACGATAGATTCCCGGGGGCAAAGTGCAGAACAATCCAGAAAACATTACGTGAGATTAGACATTCTTGCGTTATATCGGACATTAGATATACAAATCGTCACGTGCGTGCCACAGCAAAAAATGCATGTCATAATCAAGAATTATTTTATGTTCCACAGTGCGCAGCATTTGTAATTTTTGTTAGAATTATACGGAACGAATAAAAAACCGGTACCCATAAAGTATTTCCGTGATACAACAGACATAAGCAGACACGACCCCACACCAATTAATACCAAATAATATTAATTCCACCTGATAATCCATTTCTTTTTTTTTTAATACACGTAAAGCTCTAATGATAGAACTGTAAACTCCACAATGTAATATATATAGTTAGGATCTATCATTGGTTTGTGCAAATAGAATTAATGTAATCTTAAAACTACATAACTAATACATCATCGAACAATATACTCAACCCTTATGGTCTGATATAATAATTTCAAACTGGTTCGAACGAATAATAAATAATGAAATGACGTGATACTAATGTTCCTGCAATACTGTCTAATTGTCAACTTACCTGAGACTGAGATCTGGACTGGCACACCGTACAACTGGACTTGGCACTGGTGGTACAACTCTATAACCAAAAGTTAAGTAATTCTTCCAAACGTGCATATAGACGTCCCTTTCATTTACGGGCTTCCGAACTGCAGTCGAACTTCTCAGAAGAGAAGCTCTATTATCATTTACAGGCCTAAAAAGAATGATAGAAACAAACTTTATTTTTTTGCAATGATAAATCATTTTGTCAATTTTAAAAGTTTTAATATAGTCTTACGTAGGATCGATTACTGAGAAGAGAGAATTTATTCTAGTAAAAACAATAGGCCACGAATGTGCGACAGCAGTAGGACACATTGTAAGTACTCTATCCTTCTCTAAAAATGCAAACAGACAACTTCCCCATGGATCTGCTCCATTTAAATTTAAAGAAGACGAACTCTTTGTACTAGTGTCATCATGAAGGCCTGTAAAAAATATGTACATGTTAGTAAACGTTAAAAATTAAATCGACTGCATAAAAATATACATTACTGTTACCTGCTGTCCATACACAACTGCTTCTTTCAGCTATCCATTGAAGATCGACGTTAGATGTAGAAGCAGCTGCTGCTTTTTCTGCAGGTGGCAACATATGATAACATTTTTCCAAAACCACAGGACAACAAGCATCTATCACATCAATTACAGATTGATCGTCTTCCAAAGCTCCTAAAGTACACAAGCATTTTTTGTTAGCATTTAATAATTTTATATTAATTTCCATCTGCATATAACTCACCCAGCGTCTTTAATAAATATTTGACTTCGCGTAATATATGAACAGCTATTCTTCGTGGATAAAGCCGACAGTTACAGAGCATAACCAATGCAAAACCTTCGACTAAATGGAAAACACTCGAGACAGGCTCTATTTTCTGTCCAGATTCACTTTTTTTAATGATACCATCCGTACGTGCGTTTGTTCTTGTACTCTCTGCCGATTGCTCTTTAGATCTTATACTGGGACTTGTCAATGCATTTTTCCAACTTGTAAGAAGTTGCAGGAGCATTCTTAAGCCATTGTCAACAAGCTGTGGAAAAGTATCTTGAACGTCTCTAGCAAGAAACTGAGTGAACCCAAGAACAACATCCTGTCTCCAATCAGGAAAATCTATCACTAAAGTTTGTAGACTTTGATATGCTAGTCCACGAAGCTCTTCGTCCATATGAACAGTTAAACGAGATAATAAATCAACTAATTCAGCACCAGTCATTCCATCAGGTATTAAACGAGGAACTGCAGCGACGCAAGTTCGAAAAAGATCTATTCTAGGTTTCCGTTCACCAGTGATCATTTCGTCTGGTTCTTTATTCATATTTTGCGTACTTGTCATCATAAGAGGTCTTCCGTAATGAACATCTAAAGCGCGTAATATATCCACGAATACCCGTCGAACATGTGGAAAATATGAAGACATTCCTATACTTCTTGCGGTATCCTCTGTCAACATCTAAATTATATAGAATCATAGTAAATATTTGCCGATAAAATAATGAATAGAATTATTTGTTACACTTACTTTATTGAGAAACGTTTTTTTGACGCGTATGGTGTTGCCGCTAGGTAATACACCCATTGTACGCGGCATAGGAGGTTCTCCTTCTTTTTGTTGCAAACTATCGGCAACGACTAAGAAAGCTCGTAGTCCAATGCTCATCCGTTCAGGAGTTAAAATTATTTTTACTGGCCGACCCACAGATAACAAATCAAATACTATTTCCCGCATCGCAAAATCTAATCTTTCTTGCGCAATAAATTGAATAATTTTTACAAAAATATTCAATGGAGTGTCGCGTGGCACTACTGCCTTCGAACCTTTAGGAAATAAAGAATTTACTATGCTTTGCAATCTACTTTGAGTTGCTGAGTTGCTCTCGCATTTGATACGTATCATATATACCCATAGTAAACGATACAACGCTTCTGCAAAGTCAATATAAATAATGGACACAATGTTTAAATACACGGTAACGTTTCTTAGTACAAAAATCATACCCAAAGCAACACGGCACATTTTAGGATCCCGATTTTTCAAGTGTGAAAGGCACATTGCTAGAAAGTAATGCCAATTTTGCAAGAAAAATGTTTTCTGACTTACACACAATAAACAAGTTACAAGTGGAAAAAGCGCCAATCTATGCTTCGATTTGGTACACATATCTAAAGTTGTAGAATATAACATTTCTACAAAATTTTTTAGGCAAGGTACGTTAACTTCGTTTTTAACAGCCTGAGAAACAATAAATGTTGATCAAACATATTGATGTGTATATGTGTAATGTGTTGTAAATTGTAAACTTACAGCAGCAACAGGAACTAGGATCTCGACAAAAAGACCAGCCAAAGCGTGTTTAACATCTTTATCTTTCACTTCTAAGAAATACTGTGCACACTCCTGCATAAACTGAAACGAGGCCTCGAATTCTTCTATTGGTACCATCTATATATTTATATAATAATACATGAGCGTAAATTAATGTTAAAACTATGATGAAGTAACTGCTATTATTTAATTACCTTTACTCTGAAAAATTTCATTCCCATTAGCAATGAAATAATACTTTGAGTAGTATGAGGTCCTGGTTCTTTAGCGCGTAGATCTTTCAATTCGATCATAAAACGTTTCCTAACTGACATAAATCTAGACTGTGCAAGAACTCCTATTACTTCTGCATAAAGGTCAGCAATGATATGAATATTTGCCGCATTTGGTTCATTTTGGATGCTGAAACGTAGAATATATAGAAAGAATATAGAAGAGTAATTCTACAGAGCTTATTAATCCTTACCCTTCTCTATATTTGAAGTGTTTGAAAGCGATATTTTCTATATAGGTTACTAAATCTTCATGACCAGGATGAAATGGTAATTGACGTAGTACTTCTATCAACATTAAACAAAATATAAATTCAACTGCAAGATCCCTCCGTTCTTGAAGCAAGTCTGCTTCACTTCTTTCAACTGTTTCCACGCTTCCTGATACTATTGTATACATGATGCTGAAATAAAATACTGATTTGCAGATTTTCACAATCATTGATAGAATTTCTCAAAATATTTCCTCACCTTTTCCCTTTTTGATCTTCTTTGCCAGGAGCAGGCTTTTTCTGATCACTGCCTTGATCAACCAACTGGCGTTCGTACCAATTAAATAGCGCTCGCAGGATAGAAGGCAAACAATGTTCTGCGACTGAACCAAATGCAGATAAGAGTTGATCAAATTGTGGATCTTCTCCTCTTTGTAAAACTTTTGAAAGCGGTTTTTCCTGTGAAATATTTAGTATTAGATATAAGTAAATATTACACAAATATGTCACTTACATGTTCTGTCATGACCGCCTCCATTTTTTTCTCTGCTTGCGATGTGAATTCTGCAAACAAGGTACGCATTACAAACTCTCCTGGTCTTAGATCCATATCTCCCATTTGTTGAGGCTTCACTGTTTCCTTCTGAGCACCCCAAGGTAACACTACAGTTATTGCACTCACTCTACTAGAACTTGACTCTAAAATACAATAAAATTTTTTTAAATGCTTGTTCATATTTTATTAACCACTGTGATATAAACTGTGAGTTTACCATTGCCAGAAACCGAAGTACTAGCCGTATGAATACTGACAGCATCGCTGCTTTCTCCTTGAGTTGTTCCATGAACGGTAAGTAGGTCTTGACAAGGTTCAGGTACACTTTGAGAAGACAATTCTGCTGTTGTTTCGTGTAATCCCTCGCCATGTATGGCTCTGGGTTCAAAGGCTTCTGATAAAAAAAACAAATTTACACATTGGGAAATTTGGAATTTTCCCTCGACTATTGTTAAACGAAACTGTAAGGATATTTTAAACACAACTATTTTATACGATAAATTCTAAAAGCTACTACTAAAGGAATATTCTCAGTCCTAACACTACTGATTCTGCATGATGTTAGAGACTAACAGATGAAGCCCCATTCTGTAACGTAACAGATGCCTACAATGAACACTAACTTAATTATATTAAGCTTGATACTTGACTTTCAGTACATGAAAATTTGAAAAGAACACATTTGTATAAAAATTTGTACTAAAACTAGAAACATACCAGTTTGAGCCTCATTTCCAGGAGTTGGTTGTGTTTCTCCTCCTACAATATAATCATTTAATTTATTATGTATCTCTTTCAATAGATATATATATATGTGTATATATGCACATACATGTTCATACAATATATACACATGTATAGATATCACTGTGTAAAGTAAACACATAAGATAATAAACTTCAAAAGATATAGTGAACTACAAACAATTATATTTATTAACCTTCGGTCATATTGTTTATGTATGCCTTATCTTCAGGCAGCATTAATACTCAGTAATGTCATGTAGGTACACAGCATTTTCATTCTAAAACAATAGAGAAAATATGTTATGTAAGATGCTCCTTTTAACATTTACTTTTTCTAAAAATAAAAAATATAAGTACAAATGAAACAGATAAACACATATATACGTATAATATTGTTTAATCTATTCATTTCAACATCATTTTGACGTCAGGTACTACGATGTCTGACGCGCATTAGCGCTTATTATCAATAATGTTTATAAATTGTTATAATTGAAAAATAACACAATCATATCTTGGTATCTATGTATTGTCACAGATATATTACAAACATACAAGGCTCTAATTTCTGGTTCCCACAAAGTAGTAACGGATGACAAACAAAAAATACGTATTATTTAATTAAAGCGTAACAAAAATGATAGATTGTGGAAAGCCATAACCTGAGACAAAAAATGATTTCACTGTGGAACGATAAACCGAATCAAAAGTTTCACTATATCGTTGCGTTGTGATCATCGATAAAGAACTGTTAGATAAACGAAAACTCTTGACGAAAAGCACGTTATTTACCGTAAAATGCCGTAAAATCGTAATTTAATTGTAAGTCTGACGTTTCATAAATGTCCGGCTTGATTCGTCTGTGTACTTCGCAGTTTCATATTCCACACGTTCCTTAATTTAATATGCTTTTCATAGAACCACTAGAGGGTGTTAGGTCTACATTTGTGCATTAAAATCATGCAAAATCCATCATTAAACATTTCTGTGCTTGTTCATGGTAACTTATACATTTACGTCCGTTTATGCTATACATGTCTATAATTATAGGGTATAACCAACGTATATTTTAATTACACGTGTGTAGCTCCAATGGCCTTGTCAAATAGCGTTAGTGACTCTATTCTATTCTAAAGAATTTGTGAAATATAGGCATGAAATACATAATTTATTATCATTTTCAACTTAGTCTATTTTAATCGAGATTGACATTGAATCTATGCTACTATACCAACAGTAGATACTATACGCAGAAACCTTAGAACGAGACGTTAGTAGTTCTAATGTACAAGCGACCCTGGCAATGAAGCACTTTGCAGTACGCTAACAATTATGAGTTGATCGACAAGATTCACGTAATACTGTTGTTACTACTGTCTAAATATTATAAGATCAGAGACAAGTCTCTTGATACTTTAATAGCAAGGAACAAATAAAGAAAGTTTTATCTACGACACTCCCTGCTAACAACGTATATTTAAAATATTTGGACTAATTATTTTATTTACAGCGTACAGTGACGGAAAAATTTTGTTTCGCGTGGCTGGCGAATTGAGCAATAGGAAACACTAATGTCACATTTATTTTTATATAACGCAGCTGCTCATCAATACCAAGGGCCAAATCGTATCTTATTTCCGATAACGATGAACATCTACATACGTATAACTGCATTTTTACTGATACGAAGACAGTAATCGTGCTTGTAATTTCTCTTTAATAAAAACGTATGTGAATAGTTTTGTAAGATTCGTTGCATCCCTTGCAATTTGTACTTTTTCGTACGTATTCAGTGATGATATCGTGAGTTCCTATCAACTATAAATCCGCTTCGAACTGCTTTCAGGTGCATTGACCATCATGACTTTAGCTACTGTACGAACGCAGACAGTTTCTACGTCATCAAGGTCGTTATTTAATCCAATCCACACACTTGAGCCCCACGTCGCTAGTTCGATACGATGCATATAAGTTAGGAACTATGCATTGTATATTCTTATGTATTTAATACGATGATGCATATATCCGATGTCAATTGTTTTCCCGTTACAATCAGGAAACTTTTAAATCTCTCGAGCAATTTCGTTCGTTTAATTTTAGGTACCAATTCGCACTCGTAACTTCCTTATTGATACTACAATCGTGGTGAGCGGTTACGTAACACTGTTCGAAAGCCAGGAAATCAGTTATAATTCACTAAAGTATGACAACACGATAACGTAACATCATCGAAAAACATATTTTATTTTATATCAGAAAATTTAGGTACATTGTGCAAGCTAATAACTGATATTAAGAACTAACATGGCATTATATTTGCTGACCAAGCTTATTCAATCACACTCGCGCAAGTATTATCAGCAGCAAACAGATATCAAATTCTTATGATAAATATGGGATTTCCTGGTATAATTTATACATGTAGATGAACGAACAAAGGCGATTCTGTGTAGCAATATTTTAACACAAAAAACAGATAACAATATCATTCGAAGATTTTTAATTTTATTGTGCCAATGTTACAGAGTCCATCACTTGATTTTGTATATTAATATGAATCATAACTATTATCACCACTAAGTTTCTTGTAATTTTCACTCCACTTCTTTCAGAATTTCTACTTGTTCGTCAAATCGGAAACCGAACATGCGACATCGTGTGCGTAAAATACAGAGTAAAGTACTCTTGTTCAACACACACAAGCAAATATCGTTTTATAATTGAACCTTGGGAATAATTAATTATCTTCGCGACTGTAAGGTGTCAAGAGAATTTGTACAGAGGCATAAAAACGTTTATAAGGAACAATAAATAACGATAAAAATATTTTAATCGTAATGAACAATTGGATTCTTGCTTAAAGAGAAACGACCAGTACGTTTCATTGATTCTCGTAACAAATCGTTTCGCGCGCTGCGAGAGAAGTACTCGACGTAGAGAAGAGACACTTTTAGAATTAGTCTATTCTTTACAAGGTCCGCAACGTATGTACGCATCTTCAAGATGTATAAATACACCTTACTTGAAGTTACTCCATTGAACTCTGGCGTTGTGCTCCCTAACATACTGGCCGTAAGCCAGGGTTACGCAAGTCGCGCCCCGATGACCTCCTTCTTCACGAGAGATTGACCTTGTATCTCGTTCTTGTATTTTTAACATTGCAAACACGAAACCACCCCAAAGACAATTGCTAAGCGACACATGTAAAATATCTTAAGTCTACGTACCGTGATATGCCATTTTTACTGATAATCGAATACAGTGTGGTAATTGTAGCGATAAGAATCATTGGAACGACAGAAATAATAAATATATCATGTATTGGCCAATGTCGAATAAGGTGCAGGGAGACTCGCATCGATAACGATCGATCGATACGATGGAATACTGTGTAGAAATAGCTATTCCAAATTGGATACAATCATATTAAGTTTGTACAAATATCGGTCGTGTCTTTTATCCTTGACACAGTGCTTCTTTCCCTTTGTTTGTGAATAAAGCTCTCCTTGACATTAAATATTGCACCGATTAACTGTTCCTTTACATACCTTTCGCAATGCAATGTATCACGTTGAGACATGAATACTTAAAAATATATAAAGATACTTTCCTAGCTCTTAATGGTGTGGTTGGAGAATACTGACAATAAATCACGAGCATAAAAAATTATTAAATAGAGTAAAATCGTATAGTAACTATGAGTTGCACCTCGCTGGTAACCGAAGGAGACCAAGATGGATGTATTACGCGGGTATTTCAAATATGCACACGTTTTTTCCAAGAACGTGTTTGCTAAAGTTCACTACATTAGTTAAGTATTAAAGTTTTATAACAAAAAGAGACTATTATTATGCTCTTTTAATTAAAGATTAAATTTCAAGTCAGTTCGTATTAATACAAAATCTTTTATACCGCTAATACTGTCCGTGCTTATTGCGTCGGTTCCTTTGAACATGTATGCGCGCGTAGATAGTATTATTGAATGCGGAAGAAACTGTCGCATAATAAATGAAAAACAATAAACTGCTAGGTGGTTTGGAGGAATGAATTCCCGCCAATTTACTTGATATTTCGAATACATTGACGCTAGCGACATTTTTAATGGGTTCCTATACCGGAAATGCGTCAGACACGCGGGTAAACATCTAATTTTGAACGAGGCGACCGTGAACGCATTTTATCAAGCCGATACACGCGTGGCGACCGTGAAAAGAGGCAGGAAGGCATAGTGTTGCAAGACACGTGAAGAAAGGTCACGAATTCGGGAACAGAGTACGCGTTGGAAGTGCATGAAGTGTCAGGGTCCCAAGGTGCGGCCGTGCCAGAAGATTGAACCTGCGCAGAAGTTTGCACGTGACCTGCGCAGCTATTCTTAGCGGAGGTCCGTTCAACGAGAAGAACTCTGCCTCGCTCACTCGTCGTCCGGTGCGCGTCCGAAACTTAGGGGTTGCTCTCCTCTTCCTTTTGTTAACCCGTTTCTCACATACCAAATTACAAAATGTCTGGTCTTGCGGATCCAGTTGCATTCGTTAAAGATTTCGTGGCGGGTGGTGTGGCTGCCGCTATCTCGAAAACGGCAGTCGCACCAATCGAGCGCGTGAAGCTGTTGCTGCAGGTACAGCACATCTCCAAGCAAATCTCTGAGGAACAGCGTTACAAGGGTAAGTTTCTAGAACAGAATTACAAATATTAAATAGTTTACAGAAAAGTAATGATAGTCGGTAGTATAGCGAGATAAAACGTTCGAGAAACGTGAAACACGATGCACTGTGCTTAACAGTAGAAGAACGAAGCCATTCGAAACATGTGACAGTTTGAAGCATTTCACTCGTGTCAGCATTCCGAAACTGCCAAACGATTCCGTCAAGTTCGTACGCGACAGTTAGAATGAAATTCCCGTTATGTAATGTCGTTCCGTACTATATATTATTGGTAGTGGATCGGACACTTTTTGGGCGCTCTAATTACCTACTTTATGTAACGAAGATTTTTGGTCTTATATAACTTTTGCAATATCGATTGAATGGTAAGTGGTTTTGTGAGAAACGAGTGGGTCGATATTCGATAAAATGACTCGTCCTCCAGATGGCAGCGCATGGCTTTGCTCTTTGAACAGGATTCCGTGTGACGATCGATGACTGGTGCGGCTCAATATGGCCGTCTTTTCTGTACTAAAGTAGAATTGTGGGCTTCTAATTTTTGGCAATGAAAAATATATCATGATGCTTCGGAAAACGTTAATTTCATTGTTAAATCATAATATCTATGAAAAATAATGAATGTTTCATTTAAAAGGAAACGGAAAACTGCATATTAAGATAAAAGCTTAAGCATGGGTTTTTATTAATGAACGTCGTGTGTCTGAATTATTTCAATGAAAGTCCGTAATGAACACTTTTAATATTAGTTGGACATTACTGTCAATTTTTTAATATTGTACTGTCACGTATCTATATGATATGTATCTTATAAATTATGCTTAAGCAACTTTACTTCCTGACCTTGAAGGTGTTTTATGTTCATTAAGATGAAGAAATACAATTTTACAATTTTTGTTCAAATATTCTATACGAGTATAAGAATCTGTACCTACTATTGATTTGTTGCATAATAATTTGCTATTCAATATCTAAAGTAACATGTATATTTGGAGTTTAAAGATGCATTGTAGATATTTTAATGCTAATAGATCAATGAAAAAGGATTTATTTTATACTTACTGTGCAATTCTGTATAACAGTGTTGATTCCTTACAAAATTAATTTAATTTTATAAGGACAACAATTTTTATAAATAAATTTTTGTATTTCAGGTATGGTAGATTGTTTTGTGCGCATTCCAAAAGAACAAGGATTCTCCAGCTATTGGCGTGGTAACTTTGCCAATGTCATCAGATATTTCCCAACCCAAGCTTTAAACTTTGCTTTCAAAGACAAATACAAGCAAATTTTCCTTGGTGGTGTTGACAAGAACACTCAGTTTATGCGTTATTTCCTTGGAAATCTTGCCTCTGGTGGTGCTGCTGGTGCTACATCTCTGTGCTTTGTCTACCCGCTTGACTTTGCCAGAACTAGGTACTTTTATAAATTCAATTTGAATATAATACAAAGTTATACAAAATGAATGCATGTAATTATTACTTACAGGTTGGCTGCTGATGTAGGCAAAGCTGGAGCTGAACGTGAATTCTCAGGTCTTGGTAATTGTTTGAGCAAAATCTTTAAAGCTGATGGTATTGGTGGATTGTACCGTGGCTTCGGGGTATCCGTCCAGGGTATCATTATCTATCGCGCAGCCTACTTTGGTTTCTATGACACTGCCCGTGGTATGTTGCCAGACCCCAAGAAAACTCCTTTCCTTGTTTCATGGGGTATTGCACAGGTAAGCGATTCTTCTTATTCTGAAATTTGTTTTTACAGTTGTAATTCGTACGTTTACGATTGTCTATAATTTTTTATATAGGCTGTAACAACCGTTGCTGGTATTGTGTCTTATCCATTTGACACAGTACGTAGGCGTATGATGATGCAGTCCGGTCGCGCCAAATCTGAAATTTTGTACAAGAGCACCATTCACTGCTGGGGCACCATTTACAAGTCAGAAGGTACTGGTGCTTTCTTCAAAGGCGCTTTCTCCAACGTTCTTCGTGGTACTGGTGGTGCGCTTGTGTTAGTACTTTATGATGAAATTAAGAATCTCCTTTAAAGTGTTAACATTATTCTCACCTCATTACCTTCACAATTGCAAGTACCATCTCTATTGTCCTCACCATCTGATTTGAAAGCAGTTCTCAAACCGAGTGATTTCTAGACTGAAACAGTACACATACTGTCGAAAAATTCAGAAACAGCTCAAACTGAGGTATTTCGGCAGTAACTCGTGAAATACACAAAACTCGGCAGAATATGTATCTTGACTGTAGAAGAGAATTCGTTTAATTTATTGCCGGATTCAGTATTTTGCTGCAGTGGCTCACATGTGTTATTTTCATATTCCGTCTTCATAGGAAAAGAGGGTTGAATAAGATATATTTATATGTATCTAAAAATTTATGAGTATGAAATTAACAACATGATGGGTATATGAAATGTTTGATACATGTGACTATGTAGACGATGGTTGAGACGCTATGTAGTGAAAATAATTATCTAAAAAATACAAGCGTATACATACAATTGAACGAGAGAAGGACGTGCGACGAAATAACATTACGGCGATGGCGGGGCGCGTAGACTTGGGCCGCCCCCGCCCTTATTCTCGGCCCGTTGTAGATATTTAATAAACGATCATGATATCAGTGAAGTTCATCGAGGTTCTGTGAACAGTAATTTAATTTCGCACTACTGACAGCTACGTGTAAGATAATGAGAAGCGTTACTCCGAGTGTATGCATCTGATCTGTTCATGTTAGGATGCATGCAAAGAAAACAGCAGAATCAATAAAGTGATATAAAATTTCATACATGTGGTATTCCTTTCACAACCAAACCTATTTTAATTCGTATAAATCATAAAAGTACATTAAAATTTATTTATTAATATTTTTATCCGATAGTATATAAAGTTCACATTATTTTATACAAATAATTAATCCTCTGGATCCACGACTGTTTCGTAGAAATAAAAGGTCCTTCCGTATGTCGTATTCGGTCAGTCTCAAGTCTGACAGAATTTTGTGCAAGTAGCAACGATTAAAGGAGCAAGAATTGTTTATCTTTTGTTAATTATTCGAAATTTTGTGTCTAGATAAGTATTTTGCTCGTCTTTGAGTCAGATGTTATATAAATCGACCGTCGATGGGTAGAATTATTCGTCACCGTTCACATTCGCCGGAATAGTCTGGAACTGTTCCTTTTTCTTCCTGCAATATATTTAGTTTTCCTTTATTCGATATTTATCAATGAATTACATATATCCTCAGATAATAAAATGATATATTTGTCTGAAGAAATAATTACATTCAGTACACAGTACACATTACATCTTATACATTTCATTCATTGTTCCTTATTCCAAACTCTCCAAATGAAAAACACATAACTAGCAGTATCACTAATTTACTGATACAGTAAATTAATGATTTTAAAGAAAACTTCTTGTTTAAATTTGAATTTCAATTCTGTTGGAACATATACTCTGGAATGCTTCTAACACACATACAATTCAGATAATTGCAGATTAATTTTATACGAAAATGAAAAATTTATATATTATTTCTATATAATGTTAATATTAAATCAAATGACTGATGTATAATTGAACTCTTTTGATAATACTTGATATTTACACAATATAAAAGGGGATCCGCAAAACATTAAAATGTAATGATGGGAAACTTTGGGATGTAATATAAAATAGTCAATCTTATATACATTGTTTGAGCGATAATGTTAAGGAACACATCATACGGTTGTCCTGTTGGAATCTCCTGCGATCATGTCTAGAATTCGACTCAGACCTGGCATGTTTAGAATGGTACCCAAAAGAGGTACCCTTCGTAAAAAATTGATTGCTACTGGCAAAAAACCACTGTAAAACAAACGCAACAAATATGAAAATTTAAATTTATTGTCTAAAAGAATTATTATATATCTAATGATAAAATAATTAAAAGACACATACCTAAATAATAACACAAAACCATATGTTTCTATAATTATGCCTACAATAGGCCATCCCATAAGAACCACTATAACTCCACCTAAAAATGAAATGCTGGCTTTTATCTTATGTCTTTGGAAAAAGAAGTTGAGGGTTCTTCTTGGTCCTATAACGCACGCTAATCCAGATATAAATAGAATCTGCATATAAACAATTCGATAGGTAAGAGTGGTGTAGTAATGCATGTCATTAAAGTTTATACAGTGGTGCAGGAACAATTCTTACGTTTCCAATAGCGAGCAAACCCTTATCAAAAAGCAGCAAAACTCCAAGGAAGAGGAAAGATATCCCAAATCCAGCAAGTCCCACTCCAATTTCTAAAATCAATACCTTATAATCGTACGATGTTTTAAAGTTGAATTTCCGTTCGTGACCATAGCGTTCTATGCAATTTTTACAGGTCGCGATACTTATTTGTAAGCTATAAGTTGTGTGTTACTTACTCTGCGTGTCTGTGATTTCAAACATTATTTATAATTAATTCCAACGACGAGTTATTAAACTACTTCACTGATAACTTCCCGGTAAGATTTCAGTAACAATCCTTACGGCGCTCATAACCTAACTTATATTTACCACGTCATTGACTATGATGCGACGCAATTCAACTAAGCACAATTTTTCGTCACCTTGCAAAAATCATAGATTCAAAAATTTCTAGTGATTGTAGTAAACATTTTAGCGATATTTTAATATTGTAAAATTTAAATATATTGAACATCCATTAGTGGAGTAAATCTCATCGTATATACGCATGCACGCGCGAGACTTCATGCGAATCTATTCTTGGGCATCATTCTTCCGTACACGTGCTTCTTTCAATTGCTACAAATGAATTCCATTTAAGTAATTAAATTGTATGAACAACGTAACTCTTAATAGATACTAATAATCTAAACAAAAAAAATTATGCTTTTAAGTATGCAGACAACTAAGCTACTCTGTAATTACTTTCTTTAGTTTTAAATTGTAAATAATGCTCCTGGATATGAAATCATAGTGTAGTTTAATTTTTTATTTTATGGGCTTGTATCACTATGATTCTGAGCCCCTCCCCCAAATTAGTTGTAATGTAATACATTATACTTTTTATTACATACACATATATCTACATACGAATAATTGTTTATGCTTCTTTTGGATAAAGGGACTGTACAAAATAAACTTAACTTTATTATCCAGTACGAATTTCTTATACAAACAACATATTATACATAATCATTTATAATGTTTAATCAGATGAAGGAATGATGATCACTAATGGAGGTAATAATGATATTATTTTACAAACAGCAAGAAAGATGGGTTTGATTGTTAACCGTTAATATGGCTAAAACTTAAGCCTAGATACGATACAAAACACATTATTTACAGATGTTTGTTTCAAGGTACACATATTACGACGAACAATGGATTCAACACATCAAGGATGATCTTAGCCACTGAAAGAAAGAAACAAACAATTTTAATTAATTCAACGGATCAATTAATTCAACAAAGAATAATATGTTACCTCTGCTAGGCTTAATTTTATTGTTCCATTTTGTAAAGGATCTTTACTCTCGAATATGCCTACAATAAAATTAAACGTATATTAATTCTTACAGAATATAAAGATGCAAAAATTATTTACCTACCGAATGCATCGCTTAGGTGTAATATCGACGAGACAAAATCGCCGAATCTGAGTGTCCCATCTTTCCTCATGTATCGAAGAATTAAAATTGAAAGCACGTCCGTGTTCAACTGAAATCCTGATTTAACCATTTTTCTCAGATTCAAATTTCACCACGGACATTTAAAAATTATTCGATACAACGAATATTAACTCACCAACTTCCAGCAGTGCGTCCCGTAATCGTTCAGCTTTAAGGATACCAGTCTTCTCCTTCGTGTGATTCTTAAACGCGGCTTGCCAATATTTCAAGCTGCACATGAGATCTTTGAAGTCGTTAAATTTCAATCGACCGCTTCCGGAGCTCTGTTTGATACCGATTTAAGGAAAACAAGGGACGTCCAAGGGAAACAATTAAATTACAAACGAGAATTAATCAACGTCAAGGATACATCCATCGTAAGAACTACTTGTCGACATACTTCCATGCAGGCGCAGCTCTTAATGTAGTCTATAAATCGAACGTATGAATAGTTGATAAAATATTTTTCAACGATTGATTTGTTTCTTTTTCTCACCGTTCGGTAAACAGGCCTCTAGAAGCTCCTGCAATTCAAAAGCATTCACGGTTCTGTGTTCATCGGCAAGCTGCAAGAATACAGCTTCATACTGCGAGAAACCTTTGCCTTCGAGGGGCGGTGCTTTGACGATGGCCGATTTCATTAAGGACGGCGGTGTATCGAGTAGTCTAACAAAAAACCGTAAAAAATATTCTTCAAACGTTAGAAACTTAACGTTTAAATTGCAATTATAAACACTGACCCAACGCGTATGCTTACTTGAGTTTTAAAGGCTTACTGCTATAGACTCGCAACGTGAAACTGGTTTCCTGAGTCGGTTCGAAGGTAGTGGGTACTAATACGTAACCACCCTGCTCTAACTGGCATCTGTGGCTCACTTGTCGACTGTTCGTGTATTGCGAGTTCACCAAGGACTTGTTCTTTTTAAAGAACTGTTTGTTTATCGATTCCGTGTTATTCTTCGGCAAGGTATACGCCGTGAAACCTATTACCTTGAATGGATTACGATTTCATAAATGAGGAGGGATTATAATCCTTTTTTTTTCGGGCATTTTTATAGCTGGGAGATTTTCTTACTTTTGGCTCCATGATAGAGTGCTGGTTCAACGAAACGATCACTTCTTCCATTTCACTGAGGATCAGATGCAGTTGCGGATTAATGTGAAAGGTTTCTGTAACGCAGAAAAGGATTAGGACGGTTAACGTAACATCGACGATGGCAAATGTCATGGATTAACGGGCTTTTTCGCGCGAACCGTAAAACGAACCTTGATTGTTTCGACATCCACCCGCGGTAACGCCTCTCCTCCAACTGCCTTGATAGAGTTTCATTTGCCAGGTATGTTTGCTATGCAACGATGGCTCATCCCTCGACGTCTCGGCATCAAGATGTACGACTTCCAGGTGAGTGAACGTTTTCACGAAGTCCGAATAGGATATCCTACGGCCGACCAACGCGATATACGTTACATCGCGTTCGTCTTTGAGCAACGCAAAGAGAAAGGAGAGGCGAAAGATACGCTTTACTTTGCCGTCCGCGCGCAAAAAAAAGAAAAGGACACGGATTTGCTTGTATTTAAAAAATTCGTTTCGCTCACCAGAATTCGCCCTCGGCCATGTTTCTGACCGCTAAACGTTCCCTTTCCATCGGCGGTACTTCGTCCCATTCGAGGCCACCTCTTGCCCAAGCACCGACGTACTCCCCACCAGGACCAAGAGGATTTCTTAATTTTACTAACTGGACCGCCTCGCCACTGAACGTCTCCACCTGTAATTTTGCGCAACGATTCTTTGTGAAATACGAACCAAAGTGCATCGATATTCCAACGTTCTACTAGCTGAACAGGTCACTTTCTCATATTCTTTCTCAAACTTTCGCATCTTGCAATTATTTAGTATAAAATTGAACGGATCGAGATCATCAGCAACGCTCGTCTTTTGTACTTACCCTTTCGATAGCGTAGAGCCTGTAGTTGATGCCCATCTGAATACCGTTGGCTAACTTTTCTGTACTGGCTCGAACCTGTACGACAACGATCGGTTACATTCAGCTAGATCAACGATCTTTTCTCGAGTTTTTATAAACCCAACAAAATAAAATTGTTCACCTGTTGTTGATTGTTGTTTACTGTACACGTGATCAGGGACGTCATATCGAGGAGTTTCGCGAGGGCTCTACCGCAAGCCGTGGGATCCTGGCGAATCGCGATGCTCTCGGTGATTCCCCCGGTGAGGTCGGACAAACCGTCCAAGAGGGTGCCGTATTTGAGCGCCTCGTACGATCCGTGGAGCCTGAAAACGAAACGAGAGGCAGTCAGTTTCTCCGGATTCCCAGCGATCGACGATCAATTACACGGTGCCGGGTCGTAAGGTGCGCGGGAAATCTCATCGTTCGGTTCCGTTCTAACGAGATCGTCGGCATTTCGCGGCCTGTAGAGAAAACTCAGGCCACGAAGCTGCCAGACCGGACCAGGGAAAGCGAACGACTAGAAAATTTGTTGACCCGCGACCTTCTTCGACGACGATGAACGTGCTCGCCACGCACGATCGCGATTTCTCGCGCGTTCGTCATCGATTCACCGAAGAAAGTTGCACGCGGCGATCGTTAATCTTTTGCCGCCGACGAGGAACAACGCAGATACCAGAGATACCTGGCGTACACCTACGACCGTTCGAATAATTATATTTTATATGCGAGATTAAAGAGATTTTAAGTTTGTACGTCGTTCTTCGTTGTTGCTGATAGTTTGATACGATGAATCAAACTTTTCAAGAGTAATATCAAACGTATACATTGCAAGAAAGGGAATCTAGTAGGCCAGCAGGATAGTGAGAGTCGCTGGTGGCAAACAGTAGACGAAGAGTCTGATCAAAAGGATCCGATGATCTTGAGTTACCATCCCGCCGTGTTCGTCTTCCTTTTATTCACACTACGTAAGCTTATGTTTAGATTCATCGCGAAGACATTGAGTTAAGATATTGCTTTCGCCGATAAATCTTTACTTTTACGGAAGGTCATTACCTTACTCTAATTTCGAAATATTTATTTGTTTTAACGTAACATATTGATCTTTCATTTAAATTCGAAACGACCAAGACATAACGTTTTCTGTAGAGCGTGTCGTAGCCCATCGACCGTTCGGCAGTAAAATGGTTCAATCTGTTTCACCACTTTTACTTTCTTCGGTCTTGAAGTCTCTGTATTTACCGTTCTAGTGCTCATTTCTATTACAAACATAGAATAAAGCTTGTAAAAATACAGCAGTTTGATAATCTTCGATCGTGAAATATTCGAAATAATTCGTCCGTAAGGTCAAATGATCGTCGTGTTGCAAAATACGTATGTTATGTCAAAAACGATCAACAACCGGTATTAGGTCACGAGATATCTCTTCCATGGGTGTGAAGGGGTTAACAGTGTTAGATTGCATCAGTTCGAAACATGTAATTGTTTTTACGAAGTACAATAAAAAAGATTGTGACTGTAAGTTTAATCCGCTTTTTACACCTTTGCTCGTCACTATACAAAGCTTTAACTCTTTTCATCCGAAAAGGGAGATCAACCGATAAGTCAGATTATAAGGATTAAGTTGAGTTAGGTTGTAAAACAAGCCTTATTCGTCGAACAATAGAAATTAAATTTCCTTTCACCCTGCCAGGCACGCGTCGTCTATGTACTGGTTCGTCCTGAAAGTTTCCGCAGTTTCTAACCGACCATTTTAAAAGAATTTCATTCAAGTTCAACAACTTCCATCGTTTGCAATTCGGTTTAAAGAAAGGCGTTTTTCGTAACATTCGGGACGTCGTTGAACAATTAAAATAAATAGGAGCTATAAGTGCATCTTCGAGCAGAGTTTGGCGTTTCGTTGTAAATGGTCGCAAAGATAGAAAGGCGAGACGGTGGACGCAGATCCCGCGGCGACTGATAACCTACCGCCACCCAGAGAAAATCAAGAGAGAAGGCGATGCTATCTCTGCCCGTATGTGCCGTTCCCGAGAGGAAATTAGCATTCTAAAGATAACGGGCTTATTTTCTCTCTCTCGCGCCTTTTGCGCGTCCCAGTAACGTCAACGTCCCCCGAGCGCGTATCGCGCAAGATAAGCGCGAGATGTTTCGCTCGCCCGACCACAAGCGCGAGCAGGTTAATCTCTAAACCGTAACCATTCGCACGCACGGTGTACGGCAGTCACATGGGTATTTTCTCAGGGAAGATGGGCACCGTAAAGCGACGGGGAGATCCGTTTTCCAATTGTGCCTCGTATGGCCTTCGGATTCGGTGTTACCCGCAATTACCGCGCGAAAACAGAACCTCGGGAGCGGTCGGAGTAAATTGAAACGGGACGAGCTAACAGACTAATCACGCTTGCGCGCCTATTCCTCACCTATTTCACTGATCGAATCACGTTCGCCGGAAATGAGCGGTTGGCATGAATGGGTATTAGAATTACGGTAACTCGACGGACGATTCGGACCGTTCGTGTCTCTGGACCACTGTTGGATGACCAAACATCCTAATCACGATTTCTAATCCTTACTCATCCTGAACCTCGCACTTTACCATCGTCCCTACCTCTACCTATCTTCAGCAATAGTATATGAAAGCTTGCAATATCGAAGAATCGTCAGAAAGAGTCTGATACAAGTTGTACGAGTTTCTTGAGAAAACAAAGTGTTGTCAATTCTACTGGAATTCAACACCACGAGTTTTCCAGAAAACACTATTGCTATTCGCGATGACGATGAGTCAATAAACCTTTCGATACTTCTATGACTCGACGAATTATTAATTGAACCCTCAACGTCTTCAAAATGGATACGTTGCTCGGTGCAATGCACTTTCCGGCGGAAGATTCAACCTAATACCATATTTAGTCGCTAAGGCGGTGATTCGCAAACCTTTTAAAGAAAAAACGTAAATTTCTCTGCCCGAGATATGCGGTTTTAATTTTTTGTGGGAGCGTGTTTGCTCTCAGATATAGAAGTACTTTTATCGTTCTGGTTTGTTAACTATTCTTAGCCTCCAAGGCAAAAAATCATTCTGATTGTGTATCGCACCGAGTCAACACGCTTCAGAGATATATAGAACTCTTAGACAGTAGTTAGACACCTCTCGCTTTGTAAAATATTCAATAAAGTAGCGAGATAGTAGCATATATTTCAGAACTTCGCCAGTAAAATAATACGTATTATTATCAATCGTTCATACGACATTACATAATAAATGAATTAATAAACATCCAAAGTGGTATTTACTAAATCCCCACTATCTTGATTCGTTTATATCAGGGAACAGAATTAAACAATTATAAATCAAACTCAGCATCGTTTAACATTACAATGCAATAGTTTGAACAATTCTGAACGGTATAATGAAAGGGCCTATCAGTTTACGTAAATATTCATCTTTCGCGGAATAATTTCTCGGGACCAGCAGTTTGATTCTAGCGCAAAAAATTAGGTGGCAGCATTAGTTACGTGTGTCGATCAGTTATCAGTAGTTCAGGCTTCCGCAATGACATACAGCGCCTCTTATGCGACAAATTCTAACAAGTGAATACAGAGCCCTACCTATCTGTTTCGAAAAACTTAGAATTTTTAAATATGTTTCACCAAAATCCACGAATCCATTCAGAAGTTATGATGTTTTACATTTCTGGCCACAGATTATATTTTCGGTAATGAATTTTTTTCTCGAAAATGGTTAGGATTTCGAGGGTATGTCTACTGACCAAAAATGATTGCAATTGACCCCTTTAACTTTAAAAACTTTATCCAAAGAGAGATAACGTCTAAATTCGACGCCATTTTTCTCGAATTCTACCACGGTTCTTAGTTTCCCGTTCGGCGACAGTAACGTCCGTCGAACAAAAAATCGTAAGCGCAAAAGACACGAGTGGCTGTCGCAGGGGTCACCGCACTTATGACCGAATCTGTAACACTCTGCTGACTGTGTAATTCTACCGTTGTCGGTTTGCGAGCGAACGGTAACGCGAGTCCTGCCATTGACGTACTTCCGTCCCGTGACCATCTAACGGGGTGACGATGTTGCATGCGGATGTGCAATGTCGTTCGCAGTACTTTTCACGTGATCGCAGCATGTTGCCAGGCACCTAGCTTTTCTAATAAACAAAATATATTCGCGTTACAGCATGGTATTGTTATTATCATTGGGTCATCCCGAAGCCTATCTTTAACAATAATCCACCACACGATATTATACATTAAAGTAATATAAATGAATGAACTCTAAATGCACTCTACGTGGCTGTAACTCTATATCAAACTTCCAAAAAAAAAAGAATAAAAGAGTATAATGAACCGGATGACCGATTCCAGGAATCGTTCGTCATTTGCAAGGGAAGTGTTTGGTACCGGTGGACGTATCTGCTCCAGAGAAGAACCGCACGGGCTCGGTGCGTGGCTATTATCGTTCCAGAGACATTACTTTTCATTGAACTGTCGTGGAACGAGGTACTTCCGATTCTAATTGTTGCGTCACAAGATTGCTGACTCTCGTCGAGAGGAGCGATTCGAGCGAGGTCGCTTCTGTACGCGAGAGTCGCGTCTCGCGTGCTCGACGAGCGACGAAATTTTAACGCCGGGACATCGTTTAAACGGACGAACTGTCAATAAAGCTCGTTTTCGAGCGCCGCCGGCCGTGCCAGTTCGTCGTTGAAGCAGTTTCGTGGCCGCAGATACGAGCGTGGACTGTGGTCACCGGTGCACTGACCTCCGATCATTGCTGGCAACCAACGAACCGACTACTCGCCGAGTGAAAGTATTCGCGGTTATACTTGCTTAGCGTACCCGTGGCAGGCATGTGCGTGCACAAATATACATGCCCGCTGAATATAGCCCTGCATACCGGCGTATCCCGAAGCTATGCCGAATTCTGATTTCTCGTTGATCGCGTTGCATCGAACGCCGGTCTCATCGCTGAAAACGTTCCTGTCTAAATGCTAATCCGGGGAGTGGCGAGGCTGCGGTCTATTCGCACCTTTTATGCTGCAATAATTCAAAGCAAAACGTTATTCTTAAAGATCGAAATCGGTGTTAAGGACTTTATTTTTAATAATTACCATAAGACCGACTGTCGTACGACCTTATGAGGAATCCATGATTCGACACTCGGCCTTTCAATGCCAAAAGATTCCCCCATCCGGGTGAAAACAGGATGACTCACTGGTCACGAATTTTTAAGCGCGAAAGAAACAGATGACACCAATTTTGTATGTTTTTAATTCTAAAATGTGCACGTAGGACTCAATTCGTGATCCCAGCTACCAGTTTCCTCCCAAAAGCGATCGATTTTTATCGGACATTTTCTCTTTATAGCGCATCGATTATTTAATAAAAATTAATGTACCGTGGTATTTGCACTGACATCATCGAATCGTTACAAAACAGTTACCAAGTAATTGGAAAGAAAAACTGTTATTGCAGAACAGAACGCGCGACGAGCGCATTATATGCATCGGGCCGCGATTCCTCGACGGCTGAAGCACCGTGGCGAACGCAAGTATAGTGATTTCTAATGGAAATCGTGAAGAAGCACGTCGAGCATAATTCTTTCGTTCCTCGTGCGCGCGCTTGGCACGCCAATGTATGAGCTTTCTAACTGATTTTAATACCTGGCGCTGGATTAATAAGCCTGGAACTCGACGAGCGTTCCGGATCGATGGGATCTACGACAGGGTTATCGTGGAAGAGGAAAGGTCACGCGACGTACGATCCTCTCCCTGTGGAAAGAAATGTGTCGTCGTTAAGATGCCAACTCGTGGAACATGCCATCTTAGAGAACATTAAATCGAAACGAGCGGAATACTAATTCGTCGTCGCCGCGAAAGTTATCCAATTTTATCATTTTAAAAGCATTAACTGTACAGCTTCTGCGCTCGCAAAAAAAAAAACTCGATTACTATAATAAACTTCTCTAGAAACAAATCAAGTCATTCACGAATCTTTCTCGGTACAAATTGAAATCGTATGTATATTAAAAAAAATGTCATTGCATTGTGTCTGGGGAATTTTTCTATTTAGTTTATATAGAGATACGAAAGAGCTACTAACCTATTTTGAATATCTTATGAATACTGATCGTATGTATATTATCTCTGATCCGCCTTCTAACTATCGAATTTTATTTATTCCAACATAAAAGAGTGCAAGTCCTACTTTACACACGACATATTTTATACACACGCACTAAGTTCCCGCCCCTTTTTTCTATTCTTTATGAATTTCTTAAATTCTTGTAGACTTGTATCGAAGAAAACTTGAAACTTGATTTGAAAAAACACTAAATTTAGTATAAAATTGTCGTTCTAGATCAATCTCTGCTCGAAGCATCGACGTTCGACGATAGTAAACGATGCGTGATAATACTACGACCACTACGAAAACTCGTTCGAAACCACGCGAAGAAGAAGACGTAGTTAGCCACGGTTGTTAATCGCGACGCGTGAAAGATCGTTATCGCCGCAATCAACGAATTTTAGTAAAAGGTGTTGCGTGTTTGCGCTACGATACTTTTTCATTTTCTGTTTGTCGTCTGTTATTAAGTTTATTAAGCTCTAGATGGTCTTGAATTTATAGCAATCAACGATGTGCCTTTGTGACCAACAAATTGTCTTTTTTAATCTCAATTTTCCTTGAAAGACACAATTCCGTTATCGGGCGAAGGCACGTCGCGCAGGTTTTCTATTTGATTCTCCCTCGAAGGACGAACGCAAACTACGGAGATTACAAGCTGGTAGTTACCCAGGACCTTCAATTACTCGTACTACCGGCCAATTATCGTTACGATTGTGGCCGTGCGCGGAAATTGCTGTATCCAATGACGTAGCACGCGGCGTAAATTGATGCTCATCGTCGAGGAATGGATACCTTTAAACGTTTGTCGTAACGCAAATTGACCACGGTCAGAAGCCCCCGCATAAAAACATATTGCATTTTTCAGCACGCGAAACGTCTCGCCCGCAATCGATTCTACCGACCGACGATTTCAAACGATCCGGCATTAATCGACTGCATCGTACATTCCGCGGCGAACGGAAGTCATCGAGAGGCAGCAACGCGCTATCAATTATTAATGAACCGCCGTCCCCGATTCCTTTCGTGAAGCTGTTGACCGACGTAATCGTTGCCACGTACAAACGGCATGCGGCCATATTATTGCACGTTGTTTTTTAACCGTCACAAACAAACTAAACGACTTATCTACAAATCAAATTCTGAGATTCAGCGGGACCCAGTCGATACATAGAATAGATCTGTTTAACCTTCGTTTTAATTCATGTAGTCATCTTTATATCGCAACTGTTCTGCTTTTCACGAATAAAGATCATCGAGACGAATATTCAAAAATTAATTGAAATAAATACCGACGTTCGCAATGAACGCACGTACCGCTTAATTAACATCGTGATTTCGCGATTTAATATTTTTTTCCGCCGCTCGGCCCATTCGGATTGCGAAATTATCTGGCTCGCATCGCGCGTTGGTACTTTCGATTTTTAAAAGTCGCGAGCACGAATAATCGTATTTCTTTAACGAGGGTCGCATAGGTACGGCAACGTACGCAACAGTGCATCGATAATTTAACGTTTGTATACTTTTGTAAAGCAAAGTATAGCCTATGATCGATTCGTTCTGCTTTCCCCTGACACGCCAAAGCGAAGCCACGACAATTGCTCGTTACGCGTGTTCGTACGTTCGCCATTGTGATGCAAGATGCACGCGTACGATCGCGAAATTATAGTAAAGTATGTTCTCGGTCGTTAAACAAGGGCATATTTGCCGAGCACTCGAGAAACCGCGACGATTTCCGTGAACTGGTTCGATTCGAGTAAAGTATTTGTCGAAGAAACTAGCTTGACATTATGGAAAAACGAGCACTCGTTAATTCGTGACGCGATATTTTCAACGCCGTGAAAGTGTCAAATATACGCGTACGACTTGAATTTACATATTAATACGCCGGAAATATTTATTTTTTCCTATTTAAAACCAGTAGAACTTCCATGGTATAACGTTCACACGTAATTTCGCGCGATAACTGTTACAGTTTAGAAACGTGAATGCATAATACGCGAACGAGAACGGACACTTAAAATCCGTCGACGATACTACTGATCGGGCGTTGAAATCTCCAGAAAATATTTCCTACTACAGCGAGCGACGTAGGATTCGGTCCGTATCGATTTACATTTTCATTTTTCCTGTACGCGAAGGAACGTGCATCTTCGCGAACAAAATAATTCTAACCCTCGCGAACGACAAGATCTTGGAAGTACATAATAAAAGACGCAATAAACAACGCGTTTATCGGCGGTAGAATTTGTTGCTGCCCGGTGGCTCGTAAATAAAAACCGAAGGAACTTTGCCGATTCTTATCGGCGATCCTGCTGCTCCTCTTTTGTCTCTCGGATCGCGAGGTCGTCTTCCTCTTCGAGGCCGTCACGTTGCAGTCGTTTCGAGAGCAACGCCCAGCCCAGGGCTTATGCTCCTGACGGCAAGAAGCGTAGAAGCCGAGAAGGGACGCGAGTAAGAAACGGATAACGAGGTGAAGGAGAAGGAAGGAAGGAGGAACGATCATCAGCGGAAAGATTAAGAGGAGGAGCAAGGACCTCCTGCAAAACCGGTCATCGTCGTTCGTTCATCCGCGTAAACGCGTCGTCCACCTCGAGGAAGAAATCGCGCAGAACCATTACTCGCGCTAAGGATCCACTTCGTAGATCCCGCGCCACGGACAGGATCGAGAGAGAAATACCTCGTCCTTCCGATATAATGTCCGACACCGTTTACCGTATTCGTATTCGCGAATCGCTTAATTATGCATCGTTTCGTTACCGGTAATATCTTCTAGCCATTACGGGCTCGCGATGTTTTCATTAAAACGTTCCGGGATTCCGACGTAACGTTGCTGGCACTATCGAAATAAATAGCAGAAGAGGGACATCGGTTAGATTTCTTCCGGATAACGTCTTTCAGTTGTCTCCTTAACCCTCTCGAACCTGCCAGTAATTAAGTATGTCTGTTTTAGTTAGCGTTAATACGATACATGGTTGCATTTCATATTTCTGATACCAATTATCGTTATGTAAATGATAAAACCATCTATACTACCTAATTAAAGAAATGGTTTTTCCATTCCTACGACATCTTTGCAAATTTTCGAATTCGTTTCGAAATTCGAAGATCGTGGGACGCAAATACGCGGAGTAATGTTCGAGCTACTACGAACAATCTTGTAAGTTCTGGTGGGTGGCGTGGGTGTTCGCCAGGTGGACGTTCATGGTGCGTTAGCACGAAGATCGACCTTACGGAGATCGATCGATGAACCTCGATCGCCATCGCCTTTTACACCCACGCGAAATCGCGTGCGACTCGAGCTAGAGTTAATTGGCCGATCGGCAGTGAACGAACTCCGTATTTTTTCCGACGTCGTGTACAAATTCTAAAAAACAGCCAATTTATTATTTTTTACGTCCAATGTATTATCTGGACGCACTTAAACAATGAACAATTCGATGGAATGCGAAGTCCAAAACACTGTTTCTTTTTGATGCCACTTTTTGAGCAGAGACTGCAACGAAAGTACGTCTTACTTGGAACGAAACACGATACTCGACATATTATATGTCTTCGTGCCACAGTGAACGCGATAACAGAGCAAAGTCTGCAACATTTGTCTTATTAGACCTTGTTACAAAGTAAAGGCAACCGGGGGAACAAGGTAGAGAAAAAACTCTCGTGCGTGACTGACAAATAAGAGACCACTCTCGTGGTTCAACCGTTTCAAGGTACTCACTTGGCGTACGCTTTCTCCAGAAGAGCCGGCCAGAATTGATCACTGTGTCGGCTCTGCACGAAAGCCAACCGTCCGTGAATTGCCGGGAGCCTGTCGTCGACCAGAACTTCGACCCATGCACCGCACCACCATAATCGAAACCTGAACACTCCGGCGTATTCGGCAGTCGGCGATCCTGGCGGTTCTCCGCTGCTTCCGAAGCCTTGGTCAGCTGGTACCACTCTGTAGAAGAGTCCTTTGCTCAGATGGAGAACGCCCAGGCACGAGACCAGCCACTTGTCGCCTAAATTACAAACAGATTGAACTTTGACTTTCGATATATACATATAAGAATGAGATTAATTTTCAGTAACCAAATGAAGCAAACAAACTTTTACTGAATACGAATGAAGTCTTATGTGCAAATTTCAGATAAACGTATCTTCGATGCTGAAACGATAGCGAAGAACAATCGAGGGGGGAAAAACATGTTTCACGAATCAAGTTAGTTACACCGGAATGTCCTCGTTTGTATACATGAGATCGATAACTATCAAACGAACTGCATCACGACCATAATTAGGCAAACCGTGAGTTCGTAACGTTAATTAATCAAGTGCAACGGCGCATAAAAACATTTATAATTATACTGTTCCCTGCGTGTGTAGTACGCGGGAGAAAAAGAAAAGTAAGTGTTTATTTCATGGTTAAAAGGTAAAGCTCGAAGAGGAAGGAGCAGCACGATCTGTGATTAGACCTTCGAAAACGAAAGTGAACCGAGCGAGAACGCAATAAGGTTCGACCGTCGTGTCGATCTTCGATCTGAGAAAATTTTCTCACGATGTTACGGCACGTCGCGCGAAGATTACGAATCTGTTTCGCCTCCGCGTGAAGTTCATCGACGCGAAGGGAAAAATTGTCGAGGCTGTTCCATAATTTATCGAATAATTTTAACACATTCGCGCCGTGTTAATTCATGGATTCTCACGTTCGCTTCTATTCTGCCCGCGATACGCGTACAGCGCGCGGCGTTACGCAACGTTTTGCGGATTTAATTATTCGGCTTCTGGGAGAAATTGTGCTCGAGTTTCTTGAATGAAGCCGCGAGCGTGCGCTCCCCCTCGATCCGTGAATTTACGATGACGAATAAAAATACCTGCAATCCCGCGAAGCTCGCAGATCGTAACGGATAATTGGACTTTAAAAATAACCGCAGTCAAAAGTTCGATCGATGTAAAAAGATATACAACGGCGTTACGACACCAGGGCGGAGCCAAAAATATTACAAATTGACTTCTTCGGCGAAATTGGCGTTAATGCAAGGGCGATCGATCATTTCGTGTCTCGCGTAATTGCGCCGCGATTAAATTGTGTCTCTATTCAAACGGAGTGCGTCGATCCACTTTCACTATCCAGACGAGACCCGGTTTTACACCGCGAAGATTACCGATGAGTTAACCGATCTCGAGTGTCCAGTTTACGCAAGTAAACAAATATTTTTCCGTGCAAACCTGTCGCTACGACCGACCGTTTCGAATAGCTCGAGCGAAGGTGCAACCATTGTGGGATTGCACGCAACGCGCTTTGTCCGAACTTCGCGGCCAGCATTGGTGTCAAGAACTGCGAACACATTGTGCAACCAGCGAGTCCAAAGGGTTTGCAGAGGCGTACGGTAACGGATACAGGCTTAAGAACGCGTGAATGTTGCTTTTATGATCTTCAGGTCGAAACGCGTAAAATGTTGCAAGCTATTTCTCGAGAGTTATCGTTCCCCGCACCGACGAAACCTTTTATCAGCGTTGAATTTTCGTAAAAAGCAGGTTGGATCTTGAGCATCGCGGATCTCGTTGAAACGCGTGAATAAAATTTGCTAATCGCAAGTGGCTGGAAAGTGATTTAAAATCGACGGGCGGTTCAAGCCCGGCTTTCTCCAACCGGTATGAAAACGCGAGACACGGATTATAAATTATAATTACGTAGCGTAACAATTCCCGTAACTATTATTTCCGCATTAATGGTTTCACCCCGCACGCGCGCTTGCTCGATTTATCGAACGTTGGAAACTAATTGTTACCACGGTCGTGTTGCGCTTGCATTTTTCCCATTAGATTTTAAACATGTGTGCCAGGTGGTTGTAGAGCGGAAAAAATTCGCCTAGATTATTCGGATAAACAACAAAGAATGAATGTTTATATTTACTGTGCGAACCTGTAACGCCAGTGTTTCTCAAACGTTCTAATTTCTACTCTTTCACAACGTTCAGAAGTCTGGGTTCTTGTTTTTACATTTGGTAAATGCAAACACAATCAACTGTGAACAATTCATCAGGTTTCAGCCTTAAAGGTTACTACTTAAACTTATACTTATACTTTCTTACATTAAAAACGGATCTATAACGATTCTCTACCAACAACTTCTTCTACTTCAATAAACGCAAGTCTCCGAAGAAGAACCGCGTTTTAAAACGCAAAAGGTTAAGCGCTTATTTTCCTTTACACCAGTCAGGCAGCTTTTACTCTTGGCTCTTTACGAGGCTTTGCTCCTATCTTCAATAACGCTGTACGCGACTGAAACCTACAATCTAAGCACTTATCGAAGACCGAAAGTGAGCATTTTAATCATCAGAGCGTAAAATAAATTTCTAAAACGAGGCACAAAAATTGATCTTCGAACTATCATTAAACCCTTGACGTAGATTGGATTGCGAGTGATTTTTCAAACGTGTACCATTTGATTTTTTTAAACTTTCTCTCGTTGAAGCCGATCCGTCGGCAGTCGGATCCCTCGAACGATTCCACTTTCGATTCGATCGCCGTGAGCGATCGAAAGAGTAGGAATTTCGACGGTCGGCGATGATGTAGGCCGAGGAAAAAATGCTCGCGTGTCGTTATCCCGGTCGACCGCGGTGTGTTCTCGCGTGCTCGTACGCGTTAACGGGACACGGTGTTGCGGACGACGCGCAACTTGCAGGAATGCGTTTGCAACGAATTCCCGGATCGCTCGACTTCCGTCCACGACGCCACCGCCAGCCTGGTGAATTGCACCAGCTACCAACAGGACACGAGATTAAGTCCGCGATGCATTCCGCAGTCTCGTCTATACTTGGCGTCGCCGTAATTCTTCGCGTGACGCGACAATCGCGAGAACTACGCTGATAAAGATCCCTTTTACCAGTTTCGCAGCCTCTCGGCATTAATTACGCGTGCATTGCGAGGGCACGTTGGATGAAACACGACAATCGTACAACGCGTTAACGCTACGAGAACGTTTCGGCCCGAACGTGCCTCGAGAACCGAGCTTCAAGCGGTATTCCCATCTAAATCACAAAAATGTCCGCGCCTTGTCCACGAGTCCGGTCGCTTCGTTCGTCTAAAATTAAAAAATTACAACGTTGAGTTTACACGCATTTCTAAACAATATATAGAGATTTGAGAATACTCTCAGAAAGTTTTAAAAGGATAATCGTTCATACTGTTAGCTAGAAAATGCCAACGATGCCTGTTATTGCGAGCGTCGGAAGGAAAAAAAAAGTTCGACGTGAAATGAAAAGTAAACGACGCTGATTTCCCACTTTTGAGAGTCGCTAGCTGCATTCTTTCGGAGCGATGCAAAAAATAAAGAGAGACGAGGTAACCGTACGATTATCACACAATACAGCGGCTCGGTTATTCGTTAATTAAACCGAGCCACGGTATCGGTTACCATCGTAGTCGTATGGTGTTTTCTCACAGATCGAACCTGCCCGAAGAAAGTCGTGGTCGTAACAGCTTCGGGGCATGGCGTCCGTGGAAACGACCACGCTTTACCTCCCACGTTCGTCAAAGGTTACCAAGTTGCTTTCAGGGTTTTCGCGGTTTCGAGGTCGTTCGTAGTAGATGTTGACGAAAGAGTGCCAATTTATGAAACATAATGTCCCGTCAATGGCGAGTTGCGACTCGGAGTCGCTGAAGAATTTCTAAATGTGTCACGCGACTGCGAAACCTCTTATTTAGCTAGTTATTCGGCCGACGTGTTCTCCGTTATGCCACACTTTGCTCGTTCGAAACCTCGAATTAATTTATTTATCGAGAAAGAAGAATAATTTGAATTTAAAATCCAAGTAAGAGCTGAATTTAGAAGGCTCGTTCGGTTGGAGGGAGGCTAAATATGTAAACGAGTAGTTCTGAAACTCCGTGCCGGCGTTTCTAGTGGAAAGGGTTGAGCAAATTAAACGATCGTTCACCTTGATTCGCATTAAAGGGCCGACCATGTGATTTACGGGTTTGCTAATGCGTGTACACGTGAACCATATAATTATGTTTCATCGCAGGGATTCTAAGCGCTCCGAAACAAGAATGAAGCGAGAACGCGAAACCGGAATGACTAGTCTTAGCCAATTTCTCGACTTCTTCCTAGTTCGTTTCATCTATTGAAACGTTTTTGTCTCGATCTTCAACGAGCTGAGAGGGGAATGCGCAGAATGTCGATGGTAACGTATACTCAGGAATAGAAAACTTGTACTTAATCCGTTTTCACATAACGATTAAATCCACTGTTTGACATTCTCTTACCCATTTTCCCAGGTATCACGTCGAATTGGGCTGGGGTGTCGCTCACGAATATTGGGCGATTGCATAGTTCCTGAAACGAAAAGAAAACGAATTAATTTATATTATCGGAATAAAGTTTCATAAAACAAAATATAATTCTTTCGTATGCAACGTTAGAGGCGTGTGAAAATCTAGTAAATGACTAAAGTGCTCGTTTCATTGTTGGAATTATTAATTTGTCAGGACTTATTTGTTGAAACTTCAGCCACCGCAAGGATTATATAACACTTCACTGTGTGTGTCCGTAGCGCATAATTATTCTCAGACGAACGAGGAATGTGAATCGCAATGTGCATTTCGCATTGTCAGGCCTTCCGAGCGAATGTTTTTATCGCCTCCTTTGCAACTCGAAAACGGTTTCTACGTTGTGCCCGGTTTTAGCAGTACTATTTTGCGGAATTTCTTGCGATCGCTCGACCTCCGATTTGCACTGCGCAATTACAGGTAATTACAATCTCGGCGAGTGTCTCGTGCATTCGCTACTCTTCGTTTACGTTTTCATTGTCACGTACGTTCCACTTTTATCGCGGCAATTACGAAACTTAACAGAAACATACTTCACGGTTAAATTTATGACTTCTGTTTTGCGCGTTCACTCTTGCTGAAAGAAAATTGTTTACGACGTAATCAGCTTTTACCTGACAAAGTCGCTTAAAATGCAGCGCTAATCGCACGTTCGTTGCAAGATTTTCTCTGGCTTAATCCGACAGATACGTGCATAATCTTTTTACAAAGAATGCTAGTGTTTCTCAAACTTCACGTTATTAGTAGATCACGCACGAAGATCAATTTCAAGGGATTCGATGCTTGTTCTGGCATGTCTGCTCACTACCCACTGTTTCTACTTATGCTAAAGTTCAAGTCGTACTCCGTTCGATAGAATCTATCGCACGTATACGCAATGAATTCTTGGAATGAACAAATTTTATTTTTTATTTTCGATTGGTTTCTCCTGCGTAGAATCATTTCCGTTCTCTACCGTACCATTAATGCATCTTGTATAATCGACTGGAACCGCGTATGGTTTGCAACGTTACGTCACTAAATAGTGCTGAAACAATATCCTGCTCGCTCATGATTTAGTCATGGACGATCTTCGTTAACAGCACAGGATACTCGGTTCATCGTTCCTGTTCGCCACTCGTGTCACGCTCTCCTTCGATCCTTTCCGGTCGCGCCAAAAGCGTGACACGCGAACGCGCCTATCGCGTAACACGTAATGGATTAACGCAATCGTCGACCTTGTCGTAGAAACGCACCGCCGTCAGTGGCTTTTATAACGATCATTATACGCAATGCAGAGAACCATAATGTCTCGTCCACGGGACAGAGCAGGCTCCAGTTACGCGTCGGCAACTTTACCCCCGTGTTCTTTCATCGTATCGCGAACCGTGGTGCGCGTTACGTAACCGATCCACACGATCATTGATCCCTCGATTAATTCGCGCGTAAATTACAGAAATTTCTTCGACGATAAATCCAGTCTTCGTTCGATAAAGATTAACGGGAGCGAGCAGCGAACGAAGTATTGGAAAGGAATTCATGATGTACGAAGCTCTCGTAATTGGCGACTCTTCGTTAATTGTTACACGACGAGACTTGTTCGGAAAAGGGACCCGTTAGCTGCGCTGGCGTTCAGCAAAGGTGCTGTTACGCGATTATGCGCACAAAGATGACAAAGGCATAGTCTACGTGTCAAGGTTGCATACTGTTTCCGTTACGGTTCCTAGGTTTCAGATTCCTCGCCCTTCCGTTCCGTAGTAACTAGAGCAAACCGATGCGACTAAACCACTTAAGCGGTATTACCGAGAGGATTTTAAGTATCTGAAATGAAATTTTCTCAGTAATATACTTTGGACGTCGAAATGTCTCGAGATTGCATACTCTAAAATTCCTAAATCAACATTCGTATTGAGTTCTATGGGTTTAATGCTGTCTGTTCCTAGCTCTACAGGTTCCGAGTCATCAGCATCGAGTTCCACAAGCCCAAGTTTGTCACTATCGTGTTCCAAGGATCCGGGTCATCGGATAGCATCTTACCCACTGGGATCTTCGGTATCAGATCCTGTGGGTCTAAAAGTCATCGATATCGTGTCGCCTGAGTGCAGGGTTCGTTCGAATCCGATCCCACGATACTCTGGGGACACCGGTATCGAACCTCTCTTAAGCATAGGCGGGTGAATACCAAATGTCACGCCCCGGAAATCGTTTCCAATATAATAATTAACATCGCAAGTGTTACCTTTGGTCTTTTCCATTGGAATTGAAACGGGGGTGTCTGGTGATAGAAGACCGACGTTTGCGTGGCTGGAAATTCGGGATCCTCCCAAAGTTCACCTCGTTTCAAGCACGAACGCTTGATTCGTTCGTACTCGCTCATTACGTCCTGAAACAATAAAATTTCAATTAATCTTATGAATGGCTTCCACGAGAAAGTCTCTTGCGAAAAGATGCGTGCGTAACGATTAAGTAATTGTTTGCTTCATTGAATTGCGTTCAATGTTTCACTAACGTAGGTACTAGCAGATGCAACTGGATCAACGTATTATACAATCTAATTAATATTTATAACCAGCCGCGGATGGAGGGTGAGAAATTAACAGTACTTCTGCGTGCTTCGCCTACTCGTTACATATTTTTTTATCGCCCCTCAGTCGCACTACAGTTATCGCATAGTCGCTAAGAAAGGATATCTTCGCGAGCTTTTAATTGCACCATTAGACACGATGCTTTTAAATATTAATATCTCATCGTACGCGTAATCGTAACTCGAGTACGCAATACTAGCGTCGCGAACATTGAGCCGCATTAAAAACGCCCCGATTCGACCTCGATTGCCGTGATAACGCGTTTCGAGACCTCATCGAGGACCCATTGTATTGAGGTCAACACTTTCTCTTCTGCTAAAGTCTTTGTTGTACAGGTAACGCGTACCTTTATATCCGCGAAGGTACTTATTCCAACTGATATCAAACGACACATGTAATGCAAAACAATTACTTTTCGCGTATAAATTTATAAGTCGTTTGTTTTACGAGCGAAATATCCGAAAGACATCGGTTGGTAATTAGGTTCAAAGCAACCGCTTCTTACGCGTAATGTTACACGGAGCTTTCATGTCGTAAATCGTGATTCACATCGGTGATCCTAATGGACGCGAACTAGTGTTATCGTTTCTCTTTAATGACACAACGCTGGCAGATCGTTGCTGAAATTAAGACTTAGCTTCTCGCGCGGACTCCTTTGACACGACGTTCTTTGTTGCCACGAACAAACGAGAGACTAATCTGCCGGCAATTAAACGCCAGCAATCAACGTGTTATCAATCCTAGCCAACAACGTAACAGTTTGCAGCGACGTTAAACTAGAAAAATAACAGTAAATATTACTTTTCATCCTTTCTAATGGTTCACGCAGTTTCTTTCGCCCATATCGCGGCCACGTCCGAACGGAAACAAGAACGATCTCTCGAAACGTCCGTATGAACGTCAACGCTTTCGAATTCTACGAAACTATATTCACGGACTACGATTAGCAACGAGATCGATCCAATTACGTGCTAATTAATTCCCAATTATTGCATCTACTCGTCAACATTACATAGTAAACGGATAGAAGCAGAGTTCTTATTTAGGGTTTGGTCTTGCTACATATAACAAAATTTCAATGGCTAAAATAATGGGTGCTCGTAACAGTTTTCGATGCAATTATTTTGCAAACGTGTCGGTAGACTCTGAAGCTGTTATTGCTCAAAATTATCGTCACGGAAGAGAGGCTCGCCAAGATCGATATTGGTTCGTTCTCCAGAGGAAAAGGAGGGATTTTAACGTTCGCCATGGATGAATGGCTCCGTAACAAGCCAATTACATTTTGCAACGTCGCCAGATAACACATTTTCGCCGCGCAGACGATAACGCGCGAGAAGGTGCGCGAACTCGTGAAAGCGTCACGATTGCGAAATACGTAATTGCGTTCGTTGGACCGCCGCGTACTGGGCATTGTTCCGAGTAGGTACCCAACGCGTCCGTAAACCGATCCTGTGCACCAATTAAGATCGCAACAAGTCGCTACCCAATCTAGCGGTTAATTAGCACGCCTGAACGCGTACTTCGTCCACCTTTGACCGTCTCAACGGTTCTCTATTTCGTAGCATGGCGTTACCTTGGCATACCAGGCTAAGGTGTGCCTTTTTCTATTGTTGTCGCTCGACAAAGGGTGGTATGTCTGCCGTTGTCTCCTTATTCGATTTATCCCTTTCGCAATAGGGCGAGAGCACTTCCCAGAATCTTTTCTGTGACACTCCTGAGACTCTACGCAGAATTTACAATGGAGGGATCGATTCTGAAATCAAATCGAAACCGTTGAATTTCACGCGGAGTATGTTTGAGCGACAGTCAAATTTTAATTATAGATTTATAACAAATTTCCTGTACAATGGCTAGTTTCTGAAGTGGATGCAAGAGATTTTTGCGAGAAACGTGCACCAAGAATTTCTAAAATTCATACGCTTTTCGAACGATTCTAAAACGACCGATGGAAACGGTAGATTATGCACACAGAACCATGCACGAAACGTCTACTGCTTACGAATCGACATTCACGTAGCTTATTCAATGGCCTTCTCGTGGAAGTCTCGACGGTACGAGGCAACGAACCGTATGCTGGTATGTCTCAAACGTTTCTTTATTGAACGTGTATCTAATATCTGGAAGAATTCTCCGCCGAACGTTGTCGTAGGTAACGCGTTCGTTCGTGCCGAGGCGACTGATTCAGACTGTCGTTGATAAATTTTAATTCCGTCGACCGGTTTGAAGGCAGTTGTTTCGCTAGACCGGTAACGAAGAGGAGCCGAGACTCGGTTAAACGCTCGCGAATTCGCGCGCTGTTTCCTCGCGCGGATCTAGGCCAACGGTCACTAAACCGACGCTCGGTTTTTATTCATAACGTGCTTTTTCTCCCGTGAATTTCCATTTTTCCCGCTATCCTGGATCTCGTTCCAAAATGATCCAGTAAAAAGCGTACTCTTCGTTACGAAGGAGTAAGAGAATTTTTAAACAGTCGTAATCGAAACGAGCAAATTTAAAAATTGTTGTAACTCTTCTTGGAATGAATTTTCCAGGCGATCCTGATCGTTTCTATAGTTTCTCGGTAAAAAGGGACGAAGGAGCCCTGTCCCGTGCCTCGAAACCGGTTGCGTTTTCGCGCAAATCCTACGAAACGTGCACCGTTCGATCCTCCCTGGTTCTTGTTCGTCCTGTCGACGCTACGGGCGTTCCTTTCCGCGAAAATTGCCCAATTTGACGTCGACGGGATCGCGCAAGAAGCCGGACGTCGGATTTCGTTTCGCAGGAAATCGTATCGACGTTTTATTTACTTTTAGAAAATTACCGGTTGCCGGTCGCGACTTTTTCTGCGCTCGGGAGTTCCCGGGTGCAATCATCCGTCGAAGAAACCCATGAAATACTTTCTCATCTTGCTGGACGCCCGTGGCACGTACCCGCCGGAGATTTTACGTTGTACGTGCCAGGTTATTCGACTTCGCCTTCCGCTAAACCGAACGCTTCTGCGATCCACTATATACATTAGCTGTATAATAGCTACCATACTCTCGTACCGGTCGGACTAGTTTCACGCTTGGTTCTCCAGCGGCCTTGAAGCGCACGAACCGCCGCTGCAAAGCTGCCGAGAAAACCTTTATGGTTCTGGCCTCTCTCGACGCCGGACCGTGCAGACTATCTGCGGATTCCGGCACTCCGCCTTCCGGAATTTTAGCAGCATCGTGTGCAAGATATTATACCCATGATAGGAACGAACCGGAATCCGAAGGCAAATTACGGACCGTTTCGACGATCCTCCGGCCTGGAATGGAGCCAATAAAACGAACCTCGAGCGTTTTGGGGTCGCCAAAGTGCATACGGTTATGATCTAGCAATATCTGACCGAACGGACGATTTGAAAATCGTGCAGGCGAGGTCCTGCGATGCTCGTGTATCGTTGAACGACGGCTCGGAGTCGTAAAAATTTCGCGATAATTCCGATTCTTCTCCGATAATTTTGAGAAACGACCACCTGTAATGTGAAATACGTAATGCCAACGAAGTTGAAGTAGTTAAGTCAGAAAGTTGTCCAGAATACGTTTACCTCGAGTCGAGTTTAAAGCCACGGAAAGTACTTTAGTAGCGTACACGTGATTCAGTATTTATGTCCTCGATGACTAATCCTACACTTTCTATTCCGTCGAACGTTCTTTTTTTACAGTTCTTTGCTTGCATTTGAGATAGTTTTAACCGATGGAGTTGCGGAAAATTTTACCCGAACAATAGATAAATAATAAAATCAACCGCGTGGTAATTTATCAGATCAGAACAGTTACATTTCTAAAATTTGTATTTTCATTTAACGAGTAAGAGATAAGTATCTCTTATTAAGAATTTTGCCCATCGTCGCAATTCTCGATGAAGGTATACGTAACTAATAATCATTTTACGATCACTGTAAGTAGCAGGTAAACCGATTACGACTTTGTCATTAATAAGGGAAACGCATATTAGAAGAGAAGGTTCTCCGTCGAAGCGGACGTACCAAGATACTCGTGTAACGGGATACCATGAACGAGCATTCTCTATAACCTCGTGCACTACGGCCTTAGCTTCCTCCTTTTTATTACACATTGCTCTAAATTTTCATCGTTCTCGTAGCATCTTTTTTAAAACGATGAGATCATTTTACGCGAACCGCAATGTTATCAGGGAATAGTAGAAACGTATGTACTTGTCGCGTTATTCCAACGTAATGAGCAAAGGAATTCCAGTAACCCTGGAAAAATTGCTTATAAGAGTTTGTTGATTCAACGTGAGATACCGTGGCAGTAATTTCTCTTGGAAGTCATTGCCACGTCCGTTGACACATCCCGCACACGAATCCTCCGGCATTTTGCCGACGATACCCTATAAGGCTGGCCATGAACAAGTGGCATCGAGCGACCTTAAGGTTCGGTTCACAACCGTTTTCCTCAAAGACGCCTGGTGCGTGTCGGAAATGATTAACGCGAGCGCACTTGGATTCTTATCTGCTGTTTACCCTTTTATCTGACCTCTTCGCTTGCCAACAGGAGGATCGTACCTCCGCGAAGAAGGAACACGCAACTATTATCGCGAATCCGACAAGAAATCCAGCGAACGTACAAAATACAATGGCCGTCGGTTCGCTGCGTCCAAACGACCAGCGCTTTCATACCGTCGGTTATTTGCATCTTTCGTTCGACGTTTCCTGAAATTACGTTGCTGCGTGAGGGTAAATAGTCGTTGATTGCGTATATTTCGTTCGAGTCAATTGCACCGACGTGCAAGCGGATTCCGGTTATTTGGGTCATCGAGTAAACGGAAC